TTCTTCAAGGAAGTAACTGTCATGATACCGTGTCTCTGATTATTATTAAACATTGTCCCTCAAACCACAAAATGAGTGTATGTGACTATAAACAGCTGTATACATAGTGCAGAGTATGTCACTCACATTCTAATGTTATTATGTTAGTCTGGTTAATGAATAAAAGTATTTAGATTAGAAATATTGTGGTCATTCTATCAAGTTACATTGACACTGCACACATTAGCAACTAGTCATTTATTGTCAGAAGTTTGATATGATTTTATTCACCATCTATTTGATGTAAATCTCTGGTCTGCAATCTCTCTCTCTCTGTCTCTCTCTCTCTCTCTCTGTCTCTCTCTCTCTCTCTCTGTCTCTCTCTGTCTCTCTCTCTGTCTCTCTCTGTCTCTCTCTGTCTCTCTCTCTCTCTCTGTCTCTCTGTCTCTGTCTGTCTGTCTGTCTGTCTGTCTGCTTCTCAGTTTTGTGAATTTTCTCTTAAGACCATTATGTAAGTCCACCATGTTGAGGAGAATGTGGCCGGAGTTTTCTTCCTGAATACATCTGTATTAATCCTTAATATATTCTTTTGTACAGAGTGCTCTGATGGAGCTGAGTGCCGTGGACCCCTGGGGGGCCCCTGCTGCTGCTGCCGCTTCCGCCGCCGCCGCCACTGTGGGCTCTGCCGGCCCTTCGCCTCCTCCCACAGTTCCTGCCCCTGCCGCCTCAGGTCCGTGGGGCACAGCCTCCACAGACCCATGGGGGGTAGCATCACCCACATCTCCTACAAGCTCTGACCCCTGGGGTGGGGGAGCCCCACCCACTATAGCCCCTCCTCCAGACCCCTGGGGCGAGACATCCAACAGAGTTAACAACGTCGACCCCTGGGGAAGCTCAGGTAAGCGGCTAAACACTGGTCACGTATTCTCTCTGTTGCCAATCAGGTTGGTGGGAATGTACTCATTGCTGAGTATCAAAAGAGAACCGTGTCCCGCTCTGTGGATGAAAGAGGATGTGAAGACCTCTCGACCTTTACTCCTCTTTACTCCACTGTTCCATTTCCTGTCTTCATAATGGCCCTGTTAAATTTTCTGTCACGTCGCCTCACCATGCTGTCATATCTTCTCATCAACTCACATGCTTTCAGTTTGTAATGAGGAAAGCAAGCATGCTAAATCCATTCTCCCTTTGTGTCTAAACCAGGGATTTTTATCCTCTTGTTTCTACTCAGGACTGACTGTGGCTGTGTCTCAACCAGAACTGTCTCGTCTCTTACCCCTTTGTGCCTTTTTTAATGTATGAGGTAGCTTCTTATGATCTCTCCTTTACCTCCACTGAGCTTCAGATATTAAAAAGGGTGAAAGTAACCTGGTGAACAGCTTCAGAAAATCTGCTCTCACCTCAAGTCGAGTTAGTGGGACTGCAGAGGTCAAGGAGAGAAACATCACTGTTGGAACCCAGCCCAGCTTCCTGCTCCCTCCTTATTGTGGATTGTACCTGTAAGGTGTTGTGTTAACCCTCCCCTCCCCTGCGTCTCCTCCCCTCCCCTGTAGCTGTGACCCCCCCCAGTGCCGACCCCTGGGGCCCCTCAGTGCCACTCAGCACTTCCTCCTCGGGGGGGCCAGTAGACCCCTGGGCAAGGGACGGGCCTGTCCCTGCCTCTGACCCTATCACCTCCGACATCTGGAGTGGCACCGCCAAACACACTAACGGCACAGGTACATTCACACTTAAAGCTACATGGAGTCACAAACAGTGAGGTACTAGTACACACTTTTAAAGGGATTTTCATAGATTATACACAGATTTTCAATTGCATGCACATAACAGTTGTCTTGTCTTACATTTCATCCTCCTCTAGTATGTGTGGTTTTATATTATTTATTATGATTCATATCTTTTTTTGTATTCTGTGTCAGATTTATTATTTCCATTCCTTCCCCTGTAGGAGACCCAGAGCGGCGAGGGTCCCCGGCAATGGGTTGTGACAGTACAGGCTCACCGGTGCCCTTTGACCTGTCATCTCTTGGTTCTTCACTTCCTGTTCGTAAGACTCCTGAGTCCTTCCTCGGTCCCAACGCAGCACTGGTGGATCTCGATTCCCTGGTGTCATCTAAACCCAAACCCAAACAGCCCCCACCTCCTTCCATTTCGTCCTCCTCAGCGCACAACCCCTTCCTCCAGAACACAGGTTAGTTACTGCTATCGAGTTAACGGTGTGTAACCTGAGAAAAGAGACGTAACCACACTGTCTAAGCTCAGCATTACTTTTGTAGTCAGACAGGAGTATTTTACATTTTTATGTAGAGCCGTGTAGGTCTCAGATCATCAGCTGTGTTCATATTCACAATAAAATGCAGCTGGCAGAAAAAGACCATTTGATTCAAATTAATTCTAAAGAGATCAAATTAAATGCCTTGAACCACAATGTACTACCATTAACTTACAAGTATAGAGAGAGTTTGGCTGGAATGAAGTGGGTTCCTCTGAAGATCTCAGATCAAAAGCAGACAGTTAACCACCAGCAACCATGTTAGAGGCTCTGTGGTGAGCGGGAGGTTCTGGAGAGGCACTAAACCTTTCTGGGACAATGTTAATGCAACTATAAAAGACACCATGGGATGCTGTTTGCTGTGATGTACTAATGAAACATTTTGAGGTTATCCAAAGAACCTTTTAAAAGCTTTAGCAAGAAATAAATGTATTGATATTGTTCAGGAAATGTATTCAATTAAAAAGTATTTAAAGAGAAGGAAATAATATTGACAGAAATTGAGGAAAGAAGAAGAAAATATGGAACAACTGGAAATTATGTACAAGTGTCCCATGACAGCAATTTGTTTGATTATTTTCTAGAATAGTAGTTTCTCATCTATATTGTTTGTACAATGTTAATAAACGTGAAAAATGCGTCCAAGGCCACAGCTTCATGTTTCTGTTCTTCTGACTAACATATTCAGCTTAGAGTCACGTAAGACAGAGAAAAGTGGCAAATATTCACACTTTAGAAGCTGTAACCAATGAATGTTTGACATTTTCACAAAATAAAAAGGACAGAAACAGTTAATTGATCATCAATCAATCAATCAATTTTATGCTACTGTCACATGTTGTTTCCAGTTGTGAAAACCTGATATTAATGAAAAAATAAAATCACATGAAAACGTGTTGAACATAATGTATTGGTAGGTATTTAGTGACTCTTAATGTTTTTTTAACTGTCACTTTTGACCCTCAGGCTCTTCTCCTGCTCCTGGCATGGCAGTGACTCCAGGCAGCACCATTTCCAGTCGGGGGGTTTCTCCAATACCTGCCTCCTCCAACCCTTTTGGCGTGGCTCCACCCATGACCTCCATCTCACCTCAGCCCTCATCACTTGGCCTGAGCGGCCTCCGCTCGAGTCCTGTGCCTCCCAATCCCATGCTGGGCATGGTGCAACCTGGAATGGGCATAGGGCCAATGAGTGTGGGTATGGGGGCTCCAGGAATGGGCCTGGGCATGATGCAGGCCAGCCCCATGGGCATGCCCTACAGCGGGCTCTCGCCTATGGCTCCCCCAGGCTCGTCCCTGTTGGGGCCTGGAGGCACAGTACCTCCTCAGCTGATTTTGGGTGGGCCCACTGGAACAGGAGGAGTGATGGGAGCAGGAGGATCAGTGGGAGGTGGAGGAACGACGGGAGCGAGCACCAACCCTTTTCTTCTTTGAGGAAGTGTCACCACTACTTTGCTCCCCTGTTTCAACTTCCTCTGTCGTACCTGCTGCCCCCGTCATTCATCTCCACCCCCCCCAAACACAATTTGTGTCCAAAAAGAAAAATGTGTACATCTCTATATTTAAAGAAAAAAAGAAAAAATCAAAAATTATGTTTATCTTTTCCTTCAAAAGCATTACTTTCATTTCAGAATAATTTTTCCACATTTAGTTCCTTTCATTTCATTATGGGTTGTTTGTGGGCGGGAAATAGAGATCTATTTATTTTGTTTTAATCCTGTTCTGTTTCTGTATTGTTCTTCATGTTGTGTTTTTTTTTTTCAGTCCTGTCTTGAGATGAAGGTAAGTCTGTGAGAGCAGGAGGCTTTTTCAGTAGTGTCACTATTTCTAATTTTACTGCACTGAGAGAGACAGATGGAGGGAGAGGGGACATAGCCACTAACAAACTGAACAGAGAAACTGTTGCACCTGCCTCTTCCTCTTTTCTTCCTCTAGAATGAAGACAAACACTGAATCACTGAAATGAAACCAGTGCATGAAGGATGATTTTTAATGAACTCCAGACTTAGATACGGACTGAAAACCCTGCATTAACATTTCAGGCACAATGTGGTCAAATTCTTTCAACTATTTCACTTTTAATTTAATTTAATGTTAAATGTAATTTATTTTTTCCAATTTTTGGGAACAAATAAACAAGGAAAATCACTCGTTGATGCCATTTAAATCAAATGCTTATTTTTTTTCTTCCTGATTTATTGTAGAAAACTAAAGAGTGCTCTGACATCTGTGGTCCGATGGGGAAAAATGTTGGGATGTTTGTTGAATGTGTGTGTTTTCAGCGATGTGTGAATGAGAATACGAATGCTCATTTGTGAGTATGCAATAGTGTAAATGCCTGTTTCTGTGTATATGTATCGATATCTGTCTCCATTTTTCCTGTGTCCGAACTTATTTCAGTGACTCAGAAAGGAAGAAATGAAATGATCCATTATTTTTGTTTTTAAAAATTGTCACTTGTATTAATACTATGTAATGTTGGGATTTCAAATGAGGTGTTATAAGGGTCACACATTTCTCTGCCAATCTTATTTCACTTTTTTTTTTTAATTGATCAGAAGCATTAGTTGTTTTTTTCCAGTTACACATTTCATATGAGATCCCTGGTGTACAGGTTTCCCAGAGCACCACTGTCCTTTTGTTTCATCCCTCTTTCCTTCAGGGAGAGAGAAACTGATGCTTCTTTTAAAAAAAAAGAGACAATTATTTCAATGAATGAAAGGAAAAAAAACAGGGACTTGACGACATGCTCCATGCTGTTCTTTTAATTTAGTTTGATGAATTTATTGTTATTTTATATCAACAAGAAAATATCTCTTTTATCGGGTAAGGTTGAATTTTGTGTGGTGATGACTGTGAACATTCACATTTGAAAAGAAAAATGGAAAAAAAATCAAAAGGAATTTATGAAATAAAACAAAAACACAGGATCTGTGTTTGGCTTGTTTCATGCTTGCTCTGTAGTTAATGCTTTATCTATATTCCTTTTTATTTACTGTTTTACTGCTGCAGAGTACAATAATGTGATGAATAAATTTACATTACACTTATAAATCTACAATCCAATAGAAAAAAAAAACACCCTGCCAATTACCTGGAGAAGATAAGCTAAACAAAAGTTACTACAGCATATGAATTTGAATAAAGGTGAAAAAACATACATCTTTTTCAACCTTGAAATACAGCATTCAGTCATACTTGATCCCAAACATGCTCTCAGAGACGCTTCAAGATCCACAACAGCTGGACGGCTTCGGTGTAGAGCTTAGTGAAGATGACTGAAGGGCCACATTTTTCTGAAAAGTTCTGTTATAAACGTTTCTCCGCTCCATCAGTGGGGGTCAAACGAGCAGAGAATCCCAATCAAAGTCATCCTGGATCTCCTCACTGTTGCTATGCAGACTCTTTAATGGAGGACGCTGTCGTGGTGTCATAGACTGAGGCTGAGGCTGCATCCCAGCTGAGACCGAAAGAGAAACATGGTTTAAATTAGCGTATAACTGGTGCATGGAGGCAAGAAAAGGAGGGGATTTGGTACTAAAAAGGCTGTAACGTTGGTAGACACCCACTTGATAAAAGCTAAAAAGAAAAACTCTTACCTGTTGTGCTTGCAGGTTGTGTTAACTGTGGTCTTTGAAGTCCCTGACTCTGCATCTGCAGAGACCTCCGGGGCGGCTGCGCTCCGCTGGCAAGAGGAACTATGGGAGAGTAGGGGAGGGGTGAGGGGTGAGTGAGGCTGGCGAGGGTAGGAGGAGGATTGGTGGTGAATTGTGGGACCTGTAAGGAGTGAGGTGCGCCGAGGGCTAGTGGGGAGTTACTCCCAGAGGTGATCATGCCTTTCTGAGTGAAGAAGCGGTTCAGAGAGTCACAGAGGGAAGTGAAGAGCGCTGGGTCCAGGGCCCAGTCGCAGAGCTCCGCCTGGCGCATACTCTCCAGCAGGTCTGGGGGACAGAAAGTGAGGGGAACAAAAAAAGGTTACAAGAGAGGTGCAGATGATGCATTTACTCAACATGTCTAACCGTTTGCAAAGGTCTCAATAATTATCATATTGTTTAATTATCTGCCACCATTAAAGGAATCTTAAACTAGTAAAATCTTCAGACATGTCACATTAGGGTCAGTTCACCAAAAATGCAAAAAAAAACATTTTCTAGTGTCCTTGGTAGTATTTTCCATGCTGCAACTAATAATATTTTTATTATCTGAAAACTAATTTCTCAACTGGTCTTTTTTTGGCTATAAAATAAGTTGGTGAAATCTTCACATATAACAAAAATAAAGCATCAAATCTTTATATTTTAGAAGAACCAGAAAATGTTTGGTGTTTTTGTTTGGGAATGTGGCTGAAATTATTTGATAATCAAAATAATTGCAATTTTTTGTCAATCAATTAACTGCCTGATTGACTGTGAAGTCTGACAAAGTTTTGTGGATTAACCAGAGTAACCCTCAGCAGATGAAACCCAAACTACCCACAGAGGTGAGTGAGAAAATATGTTATTTTGTAATTTTGGGTGAAGTGACCCTTTAAACAAGACTCTGGTAAACAGCACAGACCTGGGTGACCAGAGAGGTCTATGTTTGCCCAGTCTAGATTGCTGGCAATGCGGAAGCTCTCCTTCAGAGAATCTGGGTTACTGAACCAGTCAGGTGGCACAGCTAAAGTGGAAGGGAGGAAGGCAAGGTGTGTTATGTTGCTGGTTTAAATACAATTCCAAGCATTTCTGGGGGTTTGATGGGGTCGTGTGAGACTTACTGTGATGTGTTACGCGCTCTGTCTCAGGAGGGTGTGCGGCTGGTGGAGGTGGTGCAGGTGCAGGATGAGGAGACATTGGCAGCAGAGTTGGAGTGTGAAGCGGGGTAGTGTCATTGCTCAGAACAGCCAGGGGAATGACATCCGCTAGAAAGAACAGAAACAAAGTCACTCATCCAAGCTGTTTATGTATATAATGCACACCCTATAGAGTTGATACACTCACAAGCACAAGGTACTTACACTGTGAGCCTCCCCTCTCCCGCATGGTCTTGACCAGAGACTTGAAAGAGGCGTACAAGTCGGGTAAATTCAGCTCGTCAAAGGTGAAGCGGAGCGGAGGATCGGTGGAGGAGTTTAATAAGACAACTGGGGGGGCGGCGACAGATGAAGGGACAGCAGATACTGAAGAGTGAGTGGGTCCTGACACAGTGCATACAGACACAGGCACTGAGTTTGGAGCGCAGGAGTAGGTGGAGATGCACACGGGTTCCGAGTTAGCGGGAAAGGCATCAGAGAAAGAGGGAGCAGCAGGAGAAGCTGTAGACATATTGGCAGCACACAGAGGTGTAGCCGAAGCAGAGGGCATGGAAAAAGTGGGGCCAGATGGAAGAGCATGGGGGAAAGAATTGATAGAGGACATGGGGGCAGCAGGTTGGAGTCCAGCTGAAGGAGAGACAGACGGATGAGGGACAGAGAGACTGGACACGGGGCTTGGCATGTAGGGTGACTGTTGCTGTGAAGATAAAAGACATTATATATTATAAGCACCCAGAAAACCTGGCTGTGATAAAAAAAAAGACGGGAGAAAGTGACTCTACCTTGCATGGAGGAGGAGAGAGGGAGGCAGACTGGGGTGACTGGATGCCTCCCAGTGGCTCTGTATTTAGAAGCTGGTGGTCTGTGTGGGAGGTTGGTTGTGGTTGATGAGGAGAGGGTCCTCTCGCTGCTTGTGTCCCCTGTAACAGCAGAGCGTTAGAATTTGTAACGGTATTCAAATCCTTTAGGAAACTAAAAGTAGCATTACCCAAGTTTACTCAAGTTAAATGTCCGGTGTGTAACATTTAAGATGATCTATTGGCAGAAATGTAATATAATATTCATCCCTATGTTTTCATTAGTGTATAATCATTATGTTTTTGTCACCTTATAATGAGCCTTTTATATCTACTGACACTTTGGGTCGCCTTCCATCGAGTCCATCATGTTAAACCGCCATGTTTCTACAGTCGCCCAGAAGGGACAAACTAAACTAGATAGGGGCGTTCACGTTTTTTGCAATGCAACTGAATCCTACACACTGGTCCTTTAAAAGTTCGGTTCACCCAAAATACAATATGAAAAATACATACTACAATATACAATAAAGTTTTGATTTCTGCATCCACGTCAATACACTAGAAGTGAATGGTGACTAATGGAAACAATTTCTTCCATAAAAGGTAGCCGCTATTATAACTGTTGACACAAAAGCCTGCAGGTTATAAAGAGTAACCAGGACATTGTTTCTAGAAGGACATGTTGGTGCCGAATTTCAAATGCACTTTTTCCTTTTATTATGCTGAATGCAGAAATTTCGAGAGACACATATTCTTAAAACCTGGACAAATAAAATCGAAACCAGTATCTGTGTGGCTAAATACCACTAGAGGTAAAGTAGGAAAGGTTTTTGGTGAATCTGTCCCTTCAGAGTGTTAGTTAATTAGTTTTAATTCATTCATTATTGAATGTTTTTCATTCAAAATCTTAACTTGTCAAGAAACTTGTATTTACAGCAAAAATATGGGAATAAATTACCAGAATCTCAAACTTGTACTTTATGAATAAGATTAAACAACATACATCCTGCCTCTCCTCTTCCTCCTCTGGATAGGGACGTTTAGGTGCCCTCACTTGATTCCCTTCTGCAGGTCCATCCATCGTCCAATAGGAACCCTGGACAAATTACAGTACACATTGTTAACTTTACGCTCTTTTAAGCAATAATTTCTCCATCCAACACGATGCAGAAACACATATATTCTTAAAACATTACAACATAAAAAGTAATTCACCTTGCCGGGGTCATTCTGTGGCCGAGGAACTTTCCTGAAGCATTTATTTAGTGACAAATTATGCCGAATGGAGTTCTGTTAAAGACACAAAGTTACATAAGGAAATAAGTCATTCTTGTACCAGCTGGTGTTGCAAAAAATATACTTAATACTTAATACTTAATAAACTAGACGGAAATGACCAAACCCACTACCAACTGTAACAACGTTAATACTGTTCTCGTACACTCATGTTCTTCTACATTAAAGCTTCTTTCTTACTTTCCATCCACGTCCGGCTCGGCTGTAGTAGGGGAAAGTGTCACTGATCCAGGTGTAGATGTCATTCAAACTCAACTTCCTCTCAGGTGCAGCTGCTATTGCCATGGCAATGAGAGTGGCATAACTGTGAGGGGGTTTCCCTTTGCAGTTGGAAGGAGAGGGGTCTGGCACAGAGGGCAGGAAGTCTCCCCTCTCCCTCCCTCTGTCTTTCTTCTTGTCCCTCTCCCCTCCTCCTGCTCCTCTTCTTTCTCTCCCCGAGCGCAGGCTGCTGATTCCCAGCTGAGGCAGCCAGTCAATGCTGGTGAGACTGGAGTCCAGGTCAGAGGACATTGTTTCTCTTTCTCTCCGTGCAGGATCTGAGGGATCAGAAGAGGAAGTGGCTAAATCCACACGTCCTTTTACTTTTTCTTTACTTTGGACACTGTAGAGACAATCACAAACACAGAGATAATGCTGTAGTAGAGTCCCTCCTGCCTGTAATGTAACACTATCAACTGTCCTGTTCCTGTACTTCCAACCACCGTCAGTCACAAACCAGTAAGTTCAGACACAAGACACTCTGGAAACTATTCATTCACAAGCAAAGACATTGCATGGATGTCACAGTATATACGCATATCAACTCCACTTACTCTTTCTATTTTCTAAGGAAGAAGAGTGGCTTGCTTACCTCTGTATAGTCACTCGAGGCCCAAGGCCTTAAAAAGTGTTAATATTTGATGTTGTCATCAGCTGTGCACAACTGCTGACAAACTGGTGTCCGTCCTTCCCTTCAGATCTCTCTCCTCAGCATGTTGATCCCCACAAGGCCTCCAAACATACCTTTAGCTTTATGAAAGTTTGTGTAACTTTGGAGAAATATACACAAAAACTTATCGGTGAGCTTCCTTTTTCTCTCTCTCCCTCTCTCTCTCTCCTTCCCCTCCCTTTCTGGATATACCAGAATTACGTCACTCACTCCTCCCCCTTTGTGACATCACTCCTAGCGCCCGCCTCTGTGAGCTGGCCCCACCTCTTCAGCTTCTTGCAGCTTAAAGCAGAAGCTCCTGCAGCTGTGGGCTCACCAGGATATCAATAAAGAGAAACAACCTGTAAGTTTCACCTAAAATCGTTTCAGAAACATGAGCACAAACGCAGACGGCAGAACAAATTTAAAGTAGCAGCGTCACTTTATTGAAGCACTTTATCATGATGTTGGAAGCAGTGAAGTTCTGTACATTATTTGTGCGACAGAATGACAGGTGATGATCTCCCTACAGAGCGCTGAAGAAGGCGAGGAGGCCGGTGTCAGGGGACGGGTGGGCCAACAGCCTCTGGATCTGTCAATAAAGTTGAAAGAATATGTGTTTGTCACTTTCATTACTTTGGCTGGCAGCAAACTCAGAATTAAATCAATATTTGGCAAATTTACAAGGGCCAACATGGCAGCTTTACAACTTCGGGAAAACATTTGGGTTTTATCACTGCAGAATGAAGTCTCACTGCACTCGTCAATGTCATGATAAAGGTTGTAGCAAGTGTATTTTTTCCTGCAGCGATTTATTCCTGCACTGTTTTTGACAGCAGTCTGAGGACACTTTTGGAGTACACCACCAGGCTTACTCTACATTTACGACACTTCTAAACAAACAGAAGTAACTCAGAGAGTAGGAGACAGCACCTCCTTGAAGTTGGGGTGTTTAGCATCTTGAACCAGCTGCAGGAGAACAGCCTCTGTGGTGGTGAGGTAAGCTCCGCTCTGCTTCAGTCGGGACAGAGCAAACAAACGGTCTGTCTGGCTGTGAAGGGAGACACAAAAGTAGTAACACACACACACACACACACACGTATATGGTTTCCACACAAACACAGGAGCAAATGTATATTTAATGCAGGTGATAACAATGCTCTATAGGAAAAAAAAAACAAAAGACACCTTCTGGATGAGACGGCATCAGCAACAATGTGAACCTCCATTCCTTTTTCAAGCAGGTCATATGTTGTGCACTGAGGAAAAGACAAGAACCAAAGGTCCTTATTCATTAATCTACTGTGGAAGCTCTCTGGCACACGTAATAAAACAATTACATTACTTAATAATAGCATAATAGCTTAATAATTGTCTGTCACATCATCATCTCCCCAATACTCAACATAAATATAATACAAACATATTCTGATGCATTATAAATTATTATGAAATTTTGTTAGAGGCTGTTTCTGTTGTTCTTTACATTTTGAGGGCCACTGCTGAAAGGCATCACTGATTAAAGATATAAATATTTTATTGATTTATTAAGAATTCATGCTAGAATTCATAAGACATCCTTCTTTTAGAACAGCAGGAAACCCAAACTGGGAATCAAACCTGCAAATAATTGTGTTTCCTGTTTAACTATAATTATGGTACAAACCTAAAATAAATATGAATGTATTCATTACATGTAAGCAAGGGGCTTCCAGTTGTCTTTATGTGGTCTTTTTAACAGCTAAGCTGCAGAAGCAGTGACGTGGTCTTACTGCAATACAGGCGTGCGCCTCTATTCCACACAGTATAGCCTGTTTGGGGTTCCCCAGGGCCTGCAGCTCCTTCTCCACCTCCTCTATCATCATGGTGAATGAGGTTTTAGCATGAGCTGTCAGGTCTGCTGCTCCCAGCTCTGGTACTGTGGGTCCCAAGCCTTTAGGGTACTGCTCGGTCAAAATCGGGGGGATGCCCAGAACACGACTGGCCTGCGCGAAGGAGGAGAGAGCAGGCAGGTTTGAGTAGATCTGTTCAAATAATTAATGCTTACGAATGAATGTTTGAGGCTGTGACCGAGATAGTTCGACCTGGAGCAATCTGGACGCGTTGCTGACGATGTTGGTGAACTGGAAGATGTTGGGTCTGAACTTCTCTTGCATGTCACACAAGAAGAGCACTGCATCCTTAGTGGAGAGCCTTCCAATGCCGGCCACTGCGAGAGCGAGGTCACAGAAACAACATATAGTGCTCAGAGACACACACTGATTCCACATATTTAGATACAAGTGCAGTGTTGAGGATGAAAGGTCAGTGGGCATTAAAACACTGAAGCTTTGAACAATAATACTTAATTAAATATAAGCACTGAATGTCATATACACAGTTTGTTGCAGCATTATTTAGCAAACAGCTCTCACATCGAAACATATGTTGTTGTTTTTTTTGATTTGTGTTTACTTAAGAAGGAAATATGTTCTCTTCCTTGTACGAAATATTTCCTCAATGGTGTGTTGCATTGTCTTGTAAAAAGATGACACCAAGTAGATTAATAGCTTAACACGAACAAGAGCGAACATAATAAAGTGAACTTACTGTTGTTTGTTGATTGTGAGGAGTGGGTGACAGGTCCAACAGGACTGTAGAAAGTACAGCTGTCAGGTTAAAGTGTGTCCTGTGTAATTGTTAACCAAGAGGATATTTACCTGTTTTACTTGCAAGTAAAAGAGGAAGAATGCATTCAATATTTCCCCCAAAAACAGCACATCACAGGATTCATAAACACACAACCGACACCTGAATTAACTGTGAAACAACTACGATATCAACAAATATATATTTCAAAGTCACAACAATAGTAACTAACCTAGCATGTAGCTGAGAAGACACACAAGTTCAACAGCCCTTTTCCCAGAAGCGCATTGACCAATAGGATTACGCGTCTGGGAGATTGACGTTTCTTTGAGCCAATAGGAGCCGACGTCTGCAGCGAATCGTCTCGCTAGCTCAGCGGGAGGGGGCGGGAACCCAGAGCCAGCCCACAGTGGTCGCCCGAAGATGTCTGACAACGCAGAGTCCCCCACAGACACGCAAAAAGAGGAGTCACAGCCACCGTCGGACGACTCCACGACGAATGAAGAGAAGAAAAAAAGTGAGAAAGCGTAATATATCGAAAATTCAACTGAATAATGGCGAGTAATATGTGTTTACGAGTACTGTTGTTAGTGCGATGGGAAACATGTCCGGGTGTATGACGTTCAGATGACTGACAGAGATTCTGACCAATAGGAAGGCTGTATTTTTCTGTTTTAGCCAATAAACATGTAGCTTTTTATCACGTGGTACTACCGGTTTGTGGAGAGGCTAAAGCTAATGTTAATATTAATTAAAATTATTCTCTTCTGGGATACTTTTTGTTCAGAGAAGCTGTTTGTTCACAGCCCAGTTTATTGTAACTTTAAATATCTTGTTTCACGTTTTAGGGGTTTGTTATGGATTTGCAAGACATACTCTACGTTTAACATTTTTGCTCTCTATGTGAGATTGAATTTAAGGATGGTTTTCTGTCTTTATTTCTAAATTAGTTCATTTCATTCATGTCAAAGCTTTGCTTGTTTTTAACAACTATGAGTTAAAACCCATCGATTCAAACCTGCGTCATTATCTTTATACAGTTGTCTGGCCAAACTTCTACTTTTGATCTGTTAATATTCCTTGGTATTTTCTAGATTTGAATAAAAATGATCATATTACGGTAAATACCATTAAAATAATCATATCTGTGAATAAATGACACCAGCACATTGGACTCTAGTTTATGGTCTTGTATGTGAGAATAAGATAAACTATGTATGTACAGTAATTTTGTATATGGGGGTACAATTACGCCTGTGACAATAACAACATCAACAGCATCAACAACATCAACTTATTGTCTAAGAATGTTTTTAGAACGTTTTAGCCAACGTGAATAAACAGCAGGGTTTTCCCTACCGACTATACTAAAATTGTGCAAAAGCCCAAGGGATGCTCAAAGCATTCACAGTCTGTATGGCACTAGCTCATTGTAAAGGCTAATGTTATATATATATATATATATATATATATATATATATATATATATGAAGTATTTAGTGGAAGCAAGCCATCATACATTGTGGTTATGTGGTAATGGATTTAACAAACACTTCTCCAGAAGTTCCTCTGAACTGTACATTGTTTAGATTTGCCTGGACCAGTCTGGGTGACAGCAGCAGTTTCACTTTTTATTTCCTCAATTTTTATAGTTGATGTGTTGCTGAAGGCTGTGGGAGACACTCCTATAATGAAAACAAAGAAGTGGGCAGTGGACAGAGGGAGGACAGTACAGTCCCTGTCTCAGTTCATCTCTCGCTTCCTCAAGCTTGATGCCAATGAACAACTGGTAAGAATTAAGTTTGTCTACCAAAATGAAGACTTGGTCAGAAGCTTAGAAATCATGCTTGAGATTTTTCAGTTCTTTATGTATAACTCCATGTGTTGTTTTTTTATTTTTTTCCAGTTCATTTATGTTAACCAAGCTTTTGCTCCGTCCCCGGATCAAGACGTAGGAATCCTCTTTGATGTGAGTATATATAAACACATTAATTACCTGTTACTGTAGTGTGTCGTGTATCTAAACCTCAATTTTCTTAACCTAAAGCAGATGAAACAAGTTAATTCTTGACTTTGGGAATAGTATGTGAAACAAAATAATCTTGATGTCCACTAACTAGCATTTTCTGAGCTTTGAACTGTATCATCAACAAGCAGATAATTGATAGTTGTGGACCTTGCACACAATCTTAACTTTACTACAACACGTTTACACAGAGAAGATTAGTTTATTCATGTTTATTTGACAACTTGCCAACAACATAACTTTAAATCTTATTTTGCTTTATTTATTCAGTAAGTGAAGCAAATGTTCCAAGCCTAATGAGGACTTTTACTTGTGTACTAATATACTTGTATACTAACAAGTATATTAACTGTCTGTTTATCTTTTTCAGTCAAATTGACTTTAATTTTTTGTAACACTAATATAAATATGTCATATTGTTTATACATCCTCTAACAGATAAACTTCAGCCCAGTCAGGCTTCAGCCGGGGTGATATTTAGAACAGTTAACCAGTGTCTTACTCTTTACCATATCGGTATAGTCTCTTCGCCTTTAATTAAATATTAAAATAGTAGCCCATATAAGTGGCCATAGAAGTTAATGGGCCATGTGGAGCTGTGACCAGCAGAGGGGGCAGTAAGAGGGGAGCTCCATGTGTCACATGCCAAAACCCTTGGCCACTGATTAATGTCTTGATAGGTAACAGCAAAGAATTCACAGTGGATGTTTGCTCATCCCACCGCTCTCACTGCTCGACAGCTCAGTATCAACACAATCAGATCAGTTTATAACTGTACTGTCACATCACGCTTCTGTCTTACTGTTTTATTTAATATTTACCTTTTGTGTATTTGTTTCTGTCTCTTTCAGTGTTTTGGCAGCGATGGAAAGCTGGTTCTGCATTACTGTAAATCTCAAGCCTGGGGTTAAACTGCTTTCTTCAACTCCACTGTGGACCTCCTCCTTCCTCCAAACATGCACACGATGTTGTTTTTTCCTTTTTTGCCATTTGTTTTCTTTCACTTTTTCTGTACATACATATTGTAAATAAATTATTCTGACTATGTGAAGCTCGTTCCGCTGTTTTTAAGGTGTCACATTTGGCACCAAAAATAAAAAACTTAACTTAGTGGGCACAGGATTTAGCTTTGTACAGCACTGGTGCTGATTAGGGGATACGTTGGTTTACAGTTTTATACAATTAATATAATAATTGAATACCTAAGAAAAGTCAAATTGGCAAGGAGCTTAAACTGGTGGTAAAGGTTTAGGGAGGTTGAGAAGGAACCACCTCTGAAAAGGGACAGACATAGGAAGAGAGGGGGCACTACAGTAACAGATGGACTTAGAGGGATTACATGATGCAGGATGGGTGTGTGACATAAATTCCCAAGAAAGACAGAAAAGAGAGTGGCGTGGAGACAGACACTCAGTCGCTCCACCAGTTTTGCATCTCTGTCCAACTATTGGCCGGGAGGATTAAAGGTGGGGAGTGCAGCTGGAGAGGTAAGGGTCACTGATGCTCATCCAGGAGGAGGAATACTTGGGACGTATACAGAGGGAAAATATGAGGAGGGTAGTGACACGGAGAATCAAGATGGAGCAACTAAAATCAAGCTCTTGAGCTTTTTGATTGTGGGTACTTGAAGAAGGTAGAGATAACCGAGGATTGTATGTTTAGAGGACTGAAAGAAGTGACGGCTAAAAGTTGTTTTACTGTGGTAGTTACATCTTAGTTGACCAGAAGTACTTCAAGGGACAAGAGAAGGCTCTTTGGTAGGTACTTGTATGATTATTTAAAATAAATAGAGCTGAAATGATTCGTCAATCAAAAGAGAAAGTTAATCAGCAACTATTCTGATAACAGATTAATTGTTTCAGTCATTTTTAAAAATAAAAATACCATTTGCTGCTTTCAGCTTTTCAAATGAGAGATTCTGATGCTTTTGTCTGATGTATGATAGTAAACTGAAGAGCTTTGGGTTTTGGACAGATGTTCAGATAAAAAGTTACATGAAGAGCTCTAGAAAATGGGCATCTTTCACTATTTTCTGACAGCTATAGACTAAATGATTAATAGAAGAAATAGTCATTACAGCCTTAACAATAACTTATATGTGTATAGCTTTTCTTATTTAAGTTGAGTGTTTACATATTTTGCGGGTGACTACAGGTTCAATTAGGCAAATGTGTGCCAAGTTTCTAATCAGCCTCTTAATATTTGTCAAGACAGGCAAGACAGACTGTCGATGCCTCTGAGAAACAATAATGTTTATCACATAATTCTGTTTTTCTCTTGAACAATTTCCAGTTTTCTTGTAAGATTAACAAAAGGTTATACTGGTGTTATTCATGCTAGTAAGTAGTAGTAGTATCCATCCAACATGTTCATACTGTAAACTTTTGCAAACTTACGTTGGTCACACTAGTGTATGTTCAATGTTAAGAGTCATGTTCTTAATTGAGAAGAAACTGTCTTTACATTGGAGACAATAATAGTGATGTTTTTAAAACCTTGGGCGCATACATTTCACATAAAGCTGACTGTCCTTATTCTTTGGGCACTGCAAATATTACACATAATAAAGAAATGTACAGCTTGTAGATTCTTGTCAATGAAGATGTGTGCCTTTAGTAGCCACAGTGATCTAATTCGGCGCATCCATTACATCCATTAGTTGTTTCTTCGTGTATTTTTTGTCAGCATTATTCAGATAGCAGTGTAGATTAAGGCTTGTGCTAAAATCACTTGTTTAACTCATGTTCTGTTATATTTCAGGGGCTGTTGGCTGACAGGGAGACGTTGCATGAGAGAGTGAGAGAGAGAGAGACAGCAGATATGGTCAGAATGCACTTCACACTAAAACACACCTAACACAAACAGATAAAAGCAGATTATCAGGGATTACTAGCAAAAATTTCATTTAGATCTGTGGCTTATCCATAATTTCATCAAAAAAAGTAATCTCTTGTTTTTTTTTTTTTTTTGCTCCCCTTCGTCTTGTCTTCTACACAGGGTCCAGCAGTGGAGCTCGTAATGAGCGGCAGGGTCAGGTCTGAGTGTGTTGATCAGGAATCAGGGAGATATTAGCCCGGGTCACAGGAGAGCACATATTATATATAACCCCTCTACATAAACACAGCTGTTGGTCTTATGTGACCTCAGGCAGTTTAAGTCTTGAGTCTTACCGACTCAAGGAACATAGAACAGAGTTACATGTCACTATATGGACACCCTGGTTTTAGCCTCTGTGTGTCCCAAACAAACATTTATTTCAGTGCCAGGTGATGACTTGGGTGTAAGGATGTCTGCTATCACCTGTTTAGATATACAGCTTTTAATGATGAATTCTGGTATTTTTAAATGACCTTGTGCTTTTTTCGGTCGAGTCACCCCGATCTAGTAAGTGCACACGAGAGGGTCAGGGGATGTATCAATAGCAGGATATCACATTAAAGCTGTCTGACCTAGCATACTGTCCTTACATCCCACTGTTTTCTCCTACTGTGAACCCTCGTCTACCTAAATCCCCTCTTGTTCATTTATTTGGGTTCCATCTGGCCTTTCCCACGTGTATCAACTTCAGAGCATCTTATCCCGCTGCCTCCTCTCTCTCGCTCGCTTTATCTTCCTCTCTTTTAATCACGTTGACTTTACAGTATCATTGTGTCAGCTGTGTTTTGTCATCTTCTTTCTGTCACAGTTACATCACATTTATCTTTGCTTTCCGTTTAAACCTGGCAGCTCATCACCTTTTAAAACCACCCCAAAGCATCTGTCATACCCTCTCGGCTCCATCTGTGACTGCAGTTGTACATTCTGTCCTGTTTGTCCTCTTCCCACGTGCAGTCTGCCCCCTCTTTACCTTACTTACACCCCCCCAATCTCTCTCTCTGGCCTCCCCCCTGCCTCCCTCTTCTCCTTTGTGGCCATGCTGGAGCGTATGTCTCGTCGCTCTCGCTCCCTGCTCTCCCTGACCTTGACCACTCTGGCTCTGGCCCTCTCCATCCTGGCTCTGTGCACCTCTTACTGGTGTGAGGGCACTCACAAGGTGGTCAAGCCCCTCTGCCTTTCGCCTGTCAAAATGAAGAACTGTGGTCAGAACAACAGCGAGCCTTACACCACAGGTACTGAGATGTCACATTATCTTTCACTTCTCCACACTGCTTCCTGTTGCTTGGTTGTTTCTCTTTATTGTTCCTTTTAAGTATACTGTAACTTAGATTGCTCTTCTTCTGTTAGGGGTCCTTGGACTAACACTAATCGGTGTACATGAATGTTTTTTAATATCCACTTCTTGAGGGGCACCTCCCCATTCATTGATTTTGACATTGTGACAAATGTGTGTGTCTCAGCAGGGCATTTAAATATGCAGTCAGGGTAGGGAAGTTCAGTTACTGTGCAGATAAACTTTACGATGAGCAAGATGCTTGAACAAAACCACTTATTTGATTACAGGTGTCACATACACAGAGCTTAGCGTCTCAGAAATGCGTTGCAATGATTTTTGAGGTTTAATTCTACTAACAAAGTTTAAATAACAGACTTGTTTTTCAATTTTATAATTTTTTGTTGTTTTACCTAAGAGCAAGGAAGAAACAATTATGAAAATAACAACATATATCTTGTAACTTGTTATCTTGTGTGTTACAGTGATGCAATTCAGATCCTTTATTTAATTAAAAGTACTGATACCACAGTGTGAAATTACTCCTTTACAAGTAAATGTCCTGCATTCAATTATATACAAATAGTACTTCTGATTCAGCAACATAATGTTAATGTTGTAGCTGGTTAACATGGAGATAATTTTAACTAATTAACTTCTCCTGGACATCCAATTTTATTAGATGATCATGATTCTTATGAAGAATCTGCAAATAATTGCCATAAAATAATCTTGTGGAATAAAAATTACAATATTACAATATTGGAATATTCATATATAATATGAATTAATGTTATTATTAATATTGAAATGTAGTGAAGCAGAAGTATGAAGTTATAAAGTATAGAGACACTCAAGTGAAGTACAAGTGCCTTAACATTTAGTACAATACTTGAGTAAATGTACTTTGCTATGTTCCACACTGGTGGAGTATTTCAGAATATTAAGGTCTGGCCTAAATCAAAAGAAGACAATGCTAAATGTCCCTGTTGTTGGTTAAGAACAAGTGGCTAAAGCTACAGTAAGAACATGAACAGACAGTTACTACAAAAAGTTACCTGGTGAACAATCCCGATATGTGTTGGAACACGTTCATGAGTATACAGCATGCTCATGCACAAGTTCATTCACCCAACCTGACGTCAACAGTCATGTGATGTTTTCTTGGCATCAGGCTTTTGCGTTTGAATGCTGAAACATTGTTAGTGACCAGGTAACAGCCGTCACAGCCACAGGTTAGGACTCTCAGCAAGGTGAAGCATTATTGTTGTAAGGTGCTTTAATAAACGTGACTTTAGTTCATTTCAGAGGCCTGTCTGATTTGTCAGGGACATAATGATAATCCAATATTTTTGTCATTTATGTCCTTCTAAAAAATCACCATCATTTTACAAAACAGTCCTAAATCAAAGTCTACTTACAACTATATCTCACAGCCTTCATCAGCAGACTCCATCAAGTGCAGAGTTTGCTCAACTCTTTTTAATGGAAACTGGCCAGGTGTACCAAGTAAAGTGGATATTAAGTGTGTATACATACATGTCAAATCTTTGTAAGTGTCTGTGCATATGGACAGTTTGTAATTGTGCATCATCTCATGAGTCATTAGTCATAAAATGCAGCTTCCTGACACCGACTTCACAAAAGGTTTGGCCTTGACTGCTGAACCCGTTTGCACAAGTATTGAATTTCTTGATCTTTGCACTGTGCCACTGCATAAGAACCAATACCTCGAGTTAATCTGACTGGATAAACTGACAGGCTTCCCCCCCGTTAGAAATTGAATGTCCTCGGTTTTAATGTTTTTTAATCTCTTTTCACCCATACCTTTGTCCTATAGTGAATTTAATTATGGCTTAGTATTAATCTATGGGGTGTGAGGGTCGCTCCCAAAGGTTTATTCATTTATGGAGGAGAGGTTTACACCGCCTGCTGCGTGGTTTTTAAATTTCTCAACAGATATACTTAATCCACACTGAGATTAAAAGCTCTTACTGCATAACGGAATCAACTTTGATCACTACATGTACTTTGTGTACTAAGATCTACCTTTACAGTGGCGGATTTCAGTCTCCCTTATGCTTCCAAACCAGATTTACAAATACACACATGGGATGAAGACGTGCCGGCTGACAAACCTGCATTAACAGACTTGCAGGTGTTTTGTGCTCACTGTTTTGTCTCCATAACTCATTCTAAAGCATGTAGTCTTTCTCCATTTGGACATTAACACACACCTGCATGTTTATGTTTTAACACACACATCTGTGTGTTTGCCAATTTAATCATCTGGCTTTTTTGTGCATTATGTTTTTGAAAATGGGAAATCAGAGTCTATCAGTTAGAGAACCTATTGTGATGATGATGTTCATGAGTCATTCTGTGTATTTATGCATCTGCTTGCCTGCACATGTATGTAATGTACGTTTGTATTTTTTAGTAAATTAGTCATGAATGCTGGTGCCTCACAGGAAGTGGGTCCTGAGGGTTTTGTTTGAAGTTTGCGTGATATTGCGGGTTTCCTCCCATATTTGAAAGAACTCCAAGTCACTGTTATTTAGAGGATACAGATTGTGTATGAATGTGTCGATGTCTCTGTGTGTAAAGAGCTGGGAAGAGACGGTCCAGCCAGTGCATACCTGGTTCTGCTCCTGCAACCAACTCCATTATCCATATCAGGAATAAGCAGCTAAAAAATGAATCTAAAATACTCTTTTAATTGTCACACAGAGAGTCCCACTCAGAACCCCTTCAACCGCACACTGTCTCCAGCCAGAAGGGACGAGCTGGCCAAGATCAGACAGAGGCAGCTGGCCAATGCGGTTCACTACATCTGGGAGACGGGAGAAGACAAGTTTGCTTTCAGATACTTTCACACAGGTTTCTGGGAAAGCTGTGAGAAACACAGCGATGGTGAGACCACAGTCATAACTTTAGTTAAACTTTTAAGAAAATGTTAAGGTTATTTTCAGTCTCAGTTCTTAACTAAATCTTTTCTTTTGAACTCAAATGATGTTTTCTATCCTATTTATTTTGTTGGCAGGGGAGAAATGTCGAAGCTTTATAGAGTTAACACCTGGAGAAACACAAGGTGAGTTATGTATCAGTGTCAAAATATAAAAACAAAATGATTATTTTAGCCCCTTTTAAGCATTTATATGGATGCATGTTTGTTAATTGTGTATGTATTTTCCAATGTTGCAGGTGTGCTCTGGCTGTCAGTTATTTCAGAGTTTACATACATCGGTCTCTTGGGGATGGGCTTCTTACTGATGTGGCTGGAAGTCTTGTGTTCCCATAAAGAGATGCACTCACTGAAAATCAATGCCTATGCAGCTATCTGTACTGTGTTATCTGGTGAGACTAAGTGTCCTTTAGTTTTACATTATTATATAATCACCTCCTTCTCCATACATCATTCTCTTTTTGCATATTTGTTTTCTAGACTAAGTTAATCCCCATTTGTTCTGTCTGTTTGTTTCATCCCCCCTGTAGGTCTTCTTGGGATGGTGGCCCATATGATGTTCACCACAGTATTTCAGATGACAGTCATTGTGGGCCCCAAAGACTGGAGGCCTCAGTCCTGGGACTACGGCTGGTCATTTGCGTAGGTGGCTGCTCTTTAGTGACAGCATACAAACATGTATTATTCAAGCATATGCATAAAGTACTTGTTATTTACAGGGAATTTTTCTCTTCTCTCTCTAACTATTCATAACCTCCTCTGTTCACAGTCTTGCCTGGGTGTCCTTTAGTTGCTGTATGGGGGCAGCTGTGGTCACACTCAACTCTTACACAAAGACCATAATTGAGCTCCGTCGCAGACAGAGGCTCCGTTTGGAGGAAGCAAGAGCTGCCACTCATGCTCCTTCCTATGATGAGGTTGTTCCAGGTGGCGGGCTCTACTCTGTCAGCGGCTTATTGCAGTGTCCAGACGGCATGATTGACGTAGCGTGGGCCCCGAATGGCAGCGTGGTTGGAGTGGGGAATGGGGACGTACCAACATTGGTTTTAGTAGGTGGCTGTGGGCCAGAGGGGTGTGAAGACTGTGAGAGAGAGATGGATGAGATGGAGGAGGCCATGGACCGAGTTGATTCGCCTTGTTAGGGGATCGTTTATATCCATCAACTAAAAGGGCTGAAAAACTCAAAAAAGGAAAGACACTTTCGCTGTACTGGAGAAGGATCAGTGTGAGCGAATACATCCTGTTTTTTCTTCCTCTTTGACTTTCAGTGCAGTTGGGACATACTAATTGCACTTCAAGGCCAGTGAAATCACTACATATCAAAATGTAAAGACTACAATGGTATAGGTCACACTGGCATTTAAGACTGCATGTTTTCTGGGTCTCAGTGCCTCATGGTAGGAAAGTAAATGCATGTCTCTACATGTAAATGCATATATGTTTATATTATTTTATTGTTTATATATTAACATGTAATCTATCAGGACAACAACAGTCATCTCAATGAGCATTTAATTGCATAATGGATGGTTGTTTCTTCTCCTGTTGATACCTAAACAGAACAGCCTGTCCTTTAGAGTAAATATACAATATTTTATCTGAGCAGGACATTCAACATGCTCATTTCTCTTGTGACAAACTTTGGACAGATGCAGCATTTTGATGTAATGCATCTGGGAGCTACAAACAAACCCGGCCTCTCTGCAGATGCGCAGACAAACCCATAAGATAGACACATAGAGATAGAAAGATTACAGAGATTTTGAAAAGTCTGCTCTCTGATGTTGAACAGAAGATTATGTGTAAACCAGTAATCCCGAGTTGGATGGGAAAAAGGAGGAATAGAGTGAGGAGAGATGGTAGACATGTGAAGGGGTGGAGCAGGTTGTGGGGGGTTGAAAGTTGGAAGGAAATGCAGGCATACACACCCACAGACTGCACACACACACACACACACACACACACACTTCAACAGTCTGCATCATGAAACACAACACTTTCAGGGAAATAATTGTTTTTAAATGGATATTACACTCTGGTATTTACTGTGTTTACGTAAAATTATACACACAATAATTTATTTAAAGTTAAATAAATGTACTTCCATTGACTTTAGGAATGTCTGTATGTTATTCATTTGGGATAATCCTGGATTTACTGTCTGGGATAAATACAATTGAAAACTTAAGACCGTAAGCGCCATTTTTGTCAACTACCAGCATTATATTATACAGTATGTTTCTAGGCCATAGGGGAATTTATTGTTTTTTTGGGAAAGATAAATAAATTGATTTTCAAAGCGCAGGTGTATGAGAAAACCTTGAATTTATTGTACAGTGAATAAAGTACAACCCTTGAGAGCTACAGCCTCTATTAAGACATTTCCAGTTCTGTAAAAAAGCTTTAATGAGGCTAACAGTCGGGCATGATACTTCATTATAATTGTCATTAATAACATTAATTTAGATAGATATACATACTATATATCGGATCAATATAGTCACCATAAATCATCTTCTTTTTAGCTATACACATTTTGAAACACTATGCCACAATTGACGTCTTTTAGCCTCTATTTGATATAAATACATTGACAAACATTAGTAAAGCAATGAGTAAGTTGCAACCAAGACACTGCAGAGAAGAGTATTTACACAGAGGGGTTGAGTGAAGTAAACAGATGGAAGGAGAAAGCATCTGAGGCTGGGAAGGGGAAGAGAAAAAAAAAAAAAGTTCAACAGAAAGGAGCGAGTCTAACTAGGGGCAGGAGGAGGGGAGATAAACTAGGAATGAGTTTATTGTTTGACTGGTTCGTAGTGGATAAGACGCATTGCATTGTCATTTTCAATCACTCCTTGGATGAACTCTCCTTCAGCCAGTCGCTCTATGAGGGCAAAAAGAAAGAGTAAGAGAAGTTATAGTGGGACAAAAATTGTAAAAAAGATGTACAGCATGGAGTGTGGGGTAAAGATGAGGTTGAATAATGACTCTTATCTAAGAAATCCGGTCTTATCTCCTGTGTGGGTGTTCTTGGTTCTTGGTGTGTGTGTGTGTGTGTGTGTGTGTGTGTGTGTGTGTGTGTGTGTGTGTGTGTGTGTGTGTGTGTGTGTGTGTGTGTGTGTGTTTGTGTGTGCGCAACAGTAGTAGCATGCAATGCAGTGGAGTCACTTGAGGCTTGCATGACACAAGTGATGCTGTAACTGGGGATATGGCCCCAGGTGGATTTATTGCTTGTATTATTATTAAGCCTAACAGCTGATGGTAAAATGTAATCTTCAGTACAGGATGTAAGAACAGCTGCTGAAGAAAGGTAGTAAGAGCTTAAGCTGATTTTATCTCTCTCTAACATACATACAGAGTGATAAGAACACAATGACCTGTCATGCACTGCGGGGTCACAATGTGTATACACACACGTGTTATTTCACTCACCGTTGTCTTTCTTTTCGAAGTAAGACCACAGCTTGTTGGCTCTCTTCTCGGGTGTGTTCTCATCCTCTGGTAGCTTGCTCTGCTCCTCCTTGGGGATCAGCTTAAATATGGCCTGAGAGGGGGTTGGGTATAAGATCGGTGCATCATTTCTCTCACACAAATAATGTATGGAACGTCAACACAGCACATGAAACAAACATGTACAAGCAGAGAAGTGAGGAGCCTGTAAGACAAGTGAGTAAGCTCATTGCCTTCTTAGGTTAATTAGGGTCTTGTGTGTATGTGTTGTTTATCGAGCCTCTGATGCAAAACAACTTGACATTTTGAGAAAAGCTACAAGCCAGTACTTTCTCATCATGATTGTCTTATGTCTAGTCCCTGATTACTGTTATTAGCCATTGCATACTCTGCAATTTGGCTGAACACAACCAAATCATATCTTACACAAACTGTAACCTGCAATCCCCACATGACAACTGATCTGCCTACCAAATGAAGCTAGAAGAGCAATCTAGGGGGTCTTTGGCATCACAATTTGCTTGTAGATGATCTTAGAAATCCACTGGTAGTGTCCAAATTAATGATCAAGCAGCTCACAGCAGCACATCCAGGCCTGTGTGTCATTTTTAAGAGACAGTTAATCTGCAATGTGCCACTTGGACTGCAGCAGATTGTAAATGACTGTGCACTTTAGGTTCAGGTCTTTAAGTGTGTGTCCCACTTAGAGAGGGAGCACTCATCTCCCACATTTAAGACACCTAGATTAACATGGATTAGTGCCAAGACTCAGGCCACAGGCCAAACACTAAGATGTCATCTCTTTTCTCCCTAGACTGTCCCTCCACTTTGCCCCTCTGATCTTGTGGTCTGTAAGGTTCACACTGTGAGCTTGTAGGTGACAAGTAGATACTGGTCAGTTTTAAAAGAACCAGGTCTTTATCAAGCAGTCAGATGCAAATGTTGATACCCTGAAAGACACACTGTATTTACACCCTCTCTTAACTAGTCTAGCCTATCAGTGTAATGTACAATACTAGACTAAACTAATATTGGCCCACTTTAAACCCACACATGAAAGCAGATATCTTTCTGTAATAATGATATTACCTTCTGTGCATATAGCACATCTGTTTTGCTTACCTCTCCATAGAGTCTAATTTTGTTGTAGGTTGATGAACCTTTGGCAGGGTGGCTTAAAATGTAGATATTTTGTGCTTCAGTTGTAAACATGATGCATATGGACTCAAGCCAGTTGGCCAGGAATTAAATCCCATTACCATGCCAGCTGGATCCTCAGCTGATCTGTCTAAACCTCTTACAATTCTATTTCATTTGTCTAAAAACTTTACAGCCTCCATCTGACTGGCTTTTAATTATATGAAAACAATGGCTAAAAGCTATTATACAGAAGTTTACATAAATAAATCTAACAGTTCAAGGTGGCAGCCTTGTGAATAAAAGAAACAAGGATTAGACTAAGGGATGATGAGCAATTGCTCTACTGACAGAGCAATACAAGAGTAGCCTTGCTTAAGAGTAGGACTGCCAATATTGTCTGAGAGTTGAACCTGTCATCACAGAGATTATCAGGAGTTTGAGGCTCACGTAGGCTGGTTTATTGGGCTGGCAATTAGTACTGAGACCTGCATACCATGAGAGAGATGGTACCTTTTCAATAAATAGCAACTCATTTTACAAGGACTTTAACAGGAGTGGGCACACCAAGAAGAACTGATGATGATGCAATATGATGCAGTCCATCAATTATTCTCCAAAACGATTGCCTCGAAGTGACCATAAAGTTAATTCAAAAAGTCAAAATTGAAGAAAATTGAACACTATAGACTTAAAAAAGTAGTATTCACTACAAGACTATTATATTTGATTGCATTATGTCAAGTAATAAAATATTATATGTTTATATTAGCAATAAAGATGAACATCGTAAAATAAAATAGCCTTTTATGTCTGTAGCATTCCTAGTCAACAGGGTTTGATACTACTCTCCATAATAGAAGACGGATGTTTATCAAATTAATCTCTATCAGAAGAGGCAAAATGTTTAGAAAAAGATACATCATCACACTGTAGAAATAGTGGATACAGTGAACTGCTCACACTAGAACCAGGAGAGTCTCATCTTTTGATCCCTACTGTGTTACACCGCTCACCTGGCAGATCTCTGTCACTTCTGTCTTGTTGATGTATCCGTTCTTGTCTACATCAAACAGTGAGAAGGCCCACTCCAGTTTTCGGGTTGTCTTCCCAGTGGAGGTCATGTGCAGTGCAATGATGTACTCCTTGAAGTCCAAAGTGCCATCATCATTGGTGTCAAAGGAGCGAAACACATGCCGTGCGTAGCTCTTGGCATCGCTCTCAGGAAAGAAGCGGGTGTAGATCTGCTCAAACTCTTCCGGTGTTATGCGCCCCGTCGGGCACTGCTTCTGGAAGTTCTCATACCACTGGCTGATCTCATGTTCAGTGAATATGGTGCTGAGCTTCAGGTCCTCCAGGATCTCCTTTGATAATGCGCTACTGGTTGAATTTCCCATTGTAGTTGCTTTGAGTGTCTTAGTAGAGTGTCAGTCCTGATAAACTCCCCGGCAAATATTTGCCACCTGAGTTTTTCTTCTCCTGTTTTCTCTCCTGTTGATTTTAGAGGCCAAAGGAAACCCTGCAAGTGACTGCAAAAGAAAATGCTGATTTACACACATGGCACAGTCATGAAATCCTTAATTTGATAATAATGAATTAATTTTATTCAGTAAATCACATTGTCAGGTTGACCAGAAATGTAGGGAAAGCTTACCTGTGTGTTGTGTGAGCAGATGATGGCTGGAGAATTGAGTGTGTCTGTCTTGACAGCGAGTCACTGAGAGATAAGGAGGGCAGGGGGGAACACACTCCTACCATGGACGACTGGGTTAATTCTGTTAATGCGGGATTTAAGGTGGCTGAGCTCTTGACTAAAATGAACCCCTGCATCCTAATTTTCTCTATTGGGACTAGACATCTAGAAAGATCCACAGTATATGACCATGTTGAGTTCATTCCCCTGTTGTTATTATTATTCATAAACATTAGGAATTCTAAGTTAGTGCCTTGTGGTGTCCAAGAATTATTCTTACTTAATAACTCAAATATTAATCAATCAACAGGGGTTCAATGCATTTCACTATATCCTTGTAGTTACAACCACTTTCTGAAACTGAGAAGTATTTGAGTGCTGCAGAATCATAAAAACTTTGATTTATTCTATTCTATTCTTCTTCTTCTATACCATCCAACAGATTAGCGAACACGTTCTGGGAAACAAGACCTCAGGTGGGTTTTCCGAGCTAGCTTTATGTTCTCCAGCAGTATGTCTGCTATTTCAGTAGTGGCCTTTCAATAGGTTAAGTTGAACACTGATCCAATTCTAGAGAACCATCTGTCCAGGCAGTTTAACTCCCTCTTCCACCCACCTCAACTCGATTCCCACCTACGCCCCTCACACAATCATCACTGCTGGCCTTCTCCTTACGTTCGCTAATGACCTCCTTCCTGTCCTACATGAGCTTTCATATCATCCTCCTTTCACTGACTCTTCTGTCACTAGCTTGTTTTTTTTTTAAGTGTTGCCTCTCATTCCTTACTCTGTAAAATTATGTTTTATTGTTGGGCGGCCAAATACTATCCTGTTTTACATATTGACCGACAAAATCATGCACACTCTGTCTCTACCCAGTCTCTTGTCAGGCCCAGTCTTTTGGGCTGCCTGCATCTTTATTGTCAACAGCCATCACCCTACAGGAGGGGTCACAGTAACTAGTAGATCAAACTTACTTCATGACGCTGGCTGACACATTTACGTCATCAGTCTGTTTTATTTGTGTCTGCAAGTATTATCTTGATTATCTTAACTGTTTCTGGCTAATTTAGCTCGGAGGTTAGGGCATATAAGTCCATGTGTTACAAATATGCACATGGGTGTGTACTGCATATTGACACAGGACAGATTGAAGCATACATGCAGTTAACCAAATTGGTAGCCCAACACTGTATGATTATCATTCATGTCTTATTTTTGGGGCCGGATTTTCTTGGCTATATATATATATATTCTAAGTGAGTCCATCTATTGGATTACTAATGCTCCACCCCATCCCACCCAAGCCAATTACCATCATCATCATCCTGTGAGCGCCATGGCCAAATGAATTACCCCCTCCTCTCGACAGAACAATCCCTGACATCTGACCTAGAGCTAGAGCAAGAAAGGATTTGTGGTCACTTCTGAAATGTTTTTCTGCTTGGGGAGAAGATGAGGTGTGGATGTCTAACACAATGATATGATAAAGTTATAATGCCTTACGTTGCTTTGCAACACTAAATACGATGTATATATTTATTTAGCAGGCAGTAATAAAAAGTTGTACAGTAATAGGTGAAAGTTTGTCAAAAGTAGAAGCCAACACATCTAAAAATATCTGCAATTAGGACAGTTACTCACCACTGGCAACCTCCCAGTTGGCTGGTCAGCATTAAAGGCTATTAACTGGCAGTATCAAGCTTCACCTGTGTTACAGCATCAACCTCGGAGCCAGTTTAACGTCAGCACTGACATATATACTGCAAATCTGTCCCACTGCCAACACTGAGTGGGACAACACTCTGCTTGGTAACAGAAAAGTTTGTTTATGTTTTAATTTTATTGTGATTATTAATGATTATTTCCCAAATGAAAAGCCCAATATCAATGTGAATTTTCAACTTGTCCTCTATAGCATAACATAAGAGAACTCTCCACCATAGATAGTAACAAGGTTGAATAGTACACATCGAAAGGATTTAATGAAATAATATCCGACTCACTACCAGAGACATGACAAATAGGAATGCTGAACAGGAAAATGCTTTAAAACAGAAAGTCCATTCCCAGCCCAAACAATGCCTTGGTGGGACACAACTCAAAAAACAAAGACTGAAAGAGAGAGGAAAAGAGGAAGGGAGTTGTTCCTAGATAAATATCTGGTAATGGGTTATAATGACGCTTAATGACAGACAAGAGCTTCCTACTGAACACAAGGGAAGAGAGGAACAAACAAACGATGACAACAATCTTGACACTTGTGTCCACCATCTTGTGAGGCCTCAGGTTGTGACGTGTATGATAAACGTAACAGCACCCCATGTTCCCATTTCTAGTCCCATTGTCCAGAGAGAAAGTCAGCAGCACTTTTACGCTTTCACTAAAATCACTCACATACCTGGGGCGGGGGAAAAAAACATATCTATGAAATTAAAGGATCTTCACTTAACACGACTTCCACCGACATTGAAACTCCTGATCAACACTGAGGTAAGCAATGCTATATTTTTCATTTAAAATACAACATTTTAGTTCTTCTAAAGTCATCATTTGCAGCCACTCATCAATCATCCCACTTTCATGTTTAAGCAAGTGTCCTACTCTTTCATATTTGAGTTTTATTCAAAGTAAAGATATGCATCGACAATGAACTGTAGTGGGCTTGAGCATTTTTGTTTGTGTAACATGATTTTACAACCTGACCTGTTAAGAATTCATTGGGTTGAATATAGTCAGGCTTATGTTAAACTGAATGCATTATAGTTATCACGTAGTCTCCAATCTTTGTTGGTTTCAGTGTGAGAGACATAAGAAAAAGATTTAATCTGTATTTATACCTTAAACTTACTATTGCTTGGAGCTACTACCAATTAAAATCTCTTTAGTAAGTTCTCTTATTCTTATTTTATACTTCTTTTTTTAACCCAGTCCGCCAGTGGGTCAGTCATTACATACTTATGCTGTGCAGGCACAAAGCTTTACTTTAAATTGTAGTTTACAAAGATACTTTTTGGGGAAATGTGTGTAAATAATGCATAAGATAACTTTGATGAAATGATGTAGCCATATAATAACATGGATTCTTATCCTCATACAACTTCAGGGAACAGTTGAAAAATAGATGTTAATGTGGTTTTAATCAGGACTGTGTGTCATGTTACAGGAGAAGAAGAAGTTACATGCAAAGTCACTTTTATCCATCTGACAAAGGAATAAAACGCAACCATGACAACCAAGATGGAAACTCTTGATCCTTCAACTCTTTCTGATGTCCCTTCAACCGTAACCTACAACGCTAAATCTGAGACAGTGACCTTACCAGGAGGGGTCGTCTCGGTGGCAGGCATCACCATAGTGACCGGGGGCGTTGAGCTGTCTTGTGGATCCTGTATGCTGGCCTTTGGTTTTTGGGGAACTCTCATCGGCTTCAGTTGTGTATCTGTGGGTCTGTGGGACCAACTGAACCAGTCTAAAGGAGGAATCTCTCTCTTACTGCGACTGGGCTTTGTGATTCTGGCCCTCAGCTTCACGGTGGTGGGAAGTGTGGCCGCATATTACCTCCTGAAGAAGAAGAAGAAGAGAGAGATTACACGAGAGGAGCGAGAGGATGGAAAAGAAGTTCTTGTAGAGAGTGGGAGGGTAATTAAAAAAGTCACAGTTTAAAAAAAATTAATTAATGAGCGTATGAAAGAAACTGATGACAAATCTGCAAAGAATTTTGCATGGACTGTAAATAACACACTAATGGGCAGTAAAAACTCAACGTCAGATTCACTCTATAACTCCTGCTGTTCCCTTTATGTGTCCTGTTTTATGCTCCTTTCTACTTCTACTCCACAACATTTTAAAGAAAGGTTTTGTATTTTTTTACTGAACTATATCTCATCAATAGCTATAGTTACTAATTTGATTATCACAATTAAAAAAACAAACAAACATTTGAGCAGCTTATGATTTGTTGCATTGTTTTAGATTTAACAACCCAAGAGTATATAAAGCAGTAGCATAGCCTTATCCTGCTTTAAAATGTAAATATATAAATCAGTAATAATAATCCAGTATATTATAATGTGGTTGCCTAATGCAGACTTTATTTTTGACACTTTAAGTAGATCCTGCTGATAGTACATCTGTACTTCTACTTCGGTAAAGTTATGAATACAGGACATTTACTTTACTATACAGTTTTTATATAATTGTATTGTTACAAGTTGCACAGTTCTTCTTTCACCATGTAATAAATGTAAAATGTGTATGTTTATGTGTGTGAGAAACAGAGAGAAAAGAGAAAAAGATTCACATCTAAAAGTAGGCAGAAGTGTGCAAATAATAAACAGAATAAAGTCTGTTAAAGGGTTTGCAGGAGTCGGCCTTTGGGGTTTTGGGAGCAACTGTGAAACTGTGAAACAGTACTGGACTAAATACAAAAAACTTGACAGTGATGATAGTGGTAACAAATCTGAGAAGAATGAAGAGATAAAAATAAATCAGTACAGTAACAAGAAAGCAAGATTCACAACGTCAGCATAGGAAAAGCATAGTTCAGTTCAATTAAAGTGTATCAGTAAGGTACAATGTGACAGTGAAATGTTAAATGGAATATAACAATATTTTTGCAAAGATATAAAAAGGATATTAATGCAACATACTTATTTTGTCAACTGGCTCCAAAAAATTTTGGTCTTGTTCCCATTCTTGTTCTTTTTGGAAAGATATTAGTGCTTTTATTTTCCAGTATACTGTTTCTGATTTTATGCTTTTATATGAAAATGTATTTTCTTACCCCTCTACCAAAAGAAATCAGTATTATATCATCAATTTGATCCTTCTGCTTGCAAAATTCCACAAAACACAAATCTAAATTTTCCAATTATAAACAATCTTTTTTTAAATTGTGTAAAAATAAAAAAATCTGTAAAAATATTATAGCAATCCAAAGTTTAACGCTGCGTTTATTTGCTATGTATAATTAATTACACTCATTTATGATTTCTGTCTTTACCCTGGCATTTTCTGTTCATGTATTTTAAAGTAAAAAGAAAAATTATATTCTTTACACCTGTGTTTTCCCTAATTTGACATGTCAAAATGTCCTGTGAAGAGAAGGCCGATTACCAGTAGAAAGTACAACACATGAATTCAGAAAACAAATACATAGTGTTAGTACAAACTGATTGCAGAAAACAAATTTTAGTATCTTAAACACTCACTAAAATAACTATAATAATTAGTATACCTACAGATAATGGTCCAGGGCCAACAAGAACACTGAGAGGGTGTTTGTCTTTATGTACTAAGGGACAAAAACGTCAAAAACGTAACAACTGTACCTGCGATGGAACTGTGTCAGCAAGTGGTTGCTACTGGTAACAGAATGTTCAACTGAAACCAACGGCTGCTGGAAGTATAACCGCTGAATGTAAAAAGCTCCATTTTACTTATATACTCTAAATATATGTAGATGGTGAGGTATCTGAAAGGGCCACTGAGTGCAGGTCAAAGGGACAGACACATGAAGTCAACAGACAGAAGACGGAGAAGATTGAGAAAGTGTGTGTGTGTGTGTGTGTGTGTGTGTGTGTGTGTGTGTGTAAGTACCTCCATCTGCTGGAATTAAAACTGTACTTCATCCAGTCACATTCCTCGGCTCACCGAGATTTACAGTGAGTGCTGGTTCCTGTTGTACCTCACTATGTGAAACACTAACTCCCCTTTGTCAAAGCTGTTTTCGTGCTGATTATTTAAAGTTTTTATGTATTCTGCAATGACGCCTCGATAAAACACACAGGTGGCTCAGTCAGTCGTTTTAATGTGCCCTTTGATTTAACCTGACACCTGAATAACTTTATCTACAAACTACACCTAATGTAAAACCTTAACTTTGTGATAAACTATTGTTTTGCAGTAATCACTTGCAGTCACACGGGTATGTGGGGTATTTCGACAGGTATCCGACTTGGACGTGCTTAACTCGGGTCACCTGACAACCTCCTTGGTCACGTGTCATCGTTCAAGTTTCAGGAAACTTTTTTTTTTTTTTTCTCCTTCTGAAAACAAAACTACACACGTCCCGCCCCTTCTTGTCTCCTATTGGTCACAGCAGACAATCGCAGCGCTCTGATTGGCCAGACGGAGGACATGTCCGCGCACATCAGAATCAAGCCACACCCCCTTCTTTGAACGCGTTTATGTGTAATTGATATCGTCCCCGAAGAGAAAACGGGAGGAATTTCAGTATTTTGGGGGCAGAGAAATGAAAGATACGCAGGACTCAAGCCGTTAAGGTGAGTTTGTTAAAGGGCGACCGAACAGCGCGACGACTCGGCATGTTTTTTAGTCAAGTTACAACTTTGTAAACTTGCTGCCAAATATCTCTCAAGGTGTCCACTGTCAAGTCATGTTACTTATTTATACAGTATGTCAATGCAAGTGTGTCCTCCTGTGTGTTTCCATTCTCCTTAGCTAACCAATACTGCCAATTAGCCCTAATTATCGACGTCTTGTGAACCTGCTGCTTGCTTGTTTTTTAGGTTGTCATGTTAGTGTGTTTACATTTAACTGTTTGACTTTCTGTGTACTATGTGTGGTGTTGTTTCACACACACACATACACACATACACACACACATACAGGCGCTTGTCTCTGCGTGCTACACATTACTACATAATCCTTATTAGAGACATAGCTATTTAACGGGAAGACCCACTGTCTCTTTCATATGTAGGTTAAGTGTCAAAGGATATATAAAGCACATTAGCAAGACCTTAAAGCCTGGTAGCTACATACAACTTTGGAGCTAAAGCTGTAGCCTAAGCTAATGATGGTTTTCATTATCAGTTAACCTGCTGTTTATTTTCTGGTTTGATCGATTAATAATTTTGTCTAGACGTCAGGAAATGGTGAAAGATTCCCATCACAATTTCCTGAAGCTCAAGGTGACATCTTGAGGTTGGTGGTTTAATGGTTACACTTCAAAGGATTACTCCATTGACAGAAAATACTCCTTTCATAATCAATCACTAATTTAATAATCAATCCATCACTTTAGTTGTTAGGTTTCAAGAGAAAATGCAAGACATTAATTGATTCCAGCTTTTTAAATGTGATGACTTGGTGCTTTTCTTTGCTTTTCTAGTATGTTAATATGTTGCCTTTTTGTGAAAAGTTTAGTTTTGAAATATTGGTCGTGAAAAACAAAAAGCAATTTGACTATTTTCTGACATTATGATTAATTGAGAAAGTAATTGGTAATAAAAATAACTGTTTTGTCTGACCAACAGTTCATAACACAAAGATATTCAGGTTACTATTACATAAGACAAAATAAAGTAGGAAATCCTCCCAACAGAGATGCTGAAACAAGGAAATGTTTGCTTGAAGAATTTTTGCTGGAAAAATGAAGATTTTTGTAATTGTTTATCAAATCTGCCAAGTGACTTTCTGTCAAGTGACAGATTAATCAACAGATACTTTCAGCTTTCTTCTGTTAATATTATGTTACCATAAAGTTATGGTGGTGAATGTATTGATCCACTGAATTACACACAACAAACTTTTCCATGCTTTTAGAAATGGCAACGAGAAATCCATCCAGGCATGAATGTGTGACAGAGTGTATTCTATATTATATTTGTCTGTAAGCCTGAACTCTGACAAGTTACTGATAATGAATGTCTTTTTAGTTTTACCCTGATGTAAAACCAAACACTGGAATTTAAATTTCATCCTTACTGAGAAGATGCTTTGTTTTTTTTGTTTGCTGTTAAACAAACTACATTAGTCACGGATTATAATAGCAGAAAATCACGTGAGTGTGTTCAACCAATTATGAGCCTGTGGTAATTAAAAAAAAAGAAGGGAGGGGAAACTGCATGCCTGAGCTTGAATATTGCACAGAAAAGCTGACTGCCCTTTTGCAGTTAACCTTAGCTGCAATGTAGAAGAGATTGATGATAATCCTTATGTATCATTTATATTTTATTCTTTTCTTTCCCAGGATGGACTCTGAAACGCCCCCTGACATCCGATAAACCTCATAGTACAGAAACAGCTCAACCAAGAGGATGCTGTCTTGTCGAAAACAAATGGAACATTAAGCTGTGGAGGCTGGGTGGCGCTGGTGTTAGCAGAAATGTCTGAAAGCTAGATAAACTAGTTGGTGAGGAAGTATAAGCATAATTGGTTTGCACACTATTATCTTTGGGTTGAGTTGGGGAAACCCCTTTGACAGTTAATATAGCAGATAAAAAAAATAATTGTCTGATGGAGTGCAGTGAGAGAGTGCTGTGTGGGATGGGGGAGGTGGAGCTGGACCCCAACATTGTGAGCGAAGAGGCAGGAAAACTGTATTCAGAACTGCAGGTAAAGTTATATTATTGCTGAAAGATTATGTTTTTCTGAAAGGAACAATTATGTAGCTGTGGTCTCACATACTGTACCTGGTTTCTCACTGTGCTGTTTTTCCTCTATCACAGACAGTTATTGAGACCCATGGTGAAGGTGTGGTGGAGTCGCTGGTGCCCATATTTGTGTGGGTCCTGGAGGGGTTGGCCAGCTGCAAAGCCCAGCTGAGAGACAGGGAGGAGGAGGCGGAGAGGGAGAAAGCTGAGCTGGAAGAGCTGCTGGAGAAATACCAAGCAGAGAGAGCTCTCAGGAAAGAAAGTCAAGAGGTGGGGATTGATGGATTGTTGGTGGAGTGCGGTATGCTGTGATTTTCAATTATGTGTTTTTAAAAGCTGTGAAAGTAGGTGGTTGTGTGTGATCAGAATTATTTAAGAGCATGTTGTTTTCTTTAGAGGTATCTGGAGCTGGATGACCAAATTGAACAGGAGAGGAGAGCCATGAGGGGGAGGGAAAAAGAGAAAGAGCGGCGAGAGAGAGAGCTAGAGAAGAAAGCAAGACAGCAAGCCGACCAGTGTGAGTATTTAAATATTAACTGTGATAAATGGCCATGTATTTCAAGCTTGAAAGTGATACTGAATCAGATGCCAAGAGTTTGTCTTGTTGAAATGCTAGCGTGTAGTACTAAAGCTACATGTTGTGTTTTATTGCAGTGGTGGCCTTGGAGGAGCAAAAGGCAAATCTGAATAGAGAACTGAGCACACTGAGGCATACTCACAACAAGGTCAGATAGTACCCTTTAGTCTAAAAACATGTATGCTATTATATCGCCACACAAAGACTTCTTAAGCCCCCTGTTATACAATATTTAGCTGTTTTTGTCATTCAACTTCTTACATATCACCAATGTTCTCTCTTTTAGTTGACTCACACATATCGGGAACTTTTGGAAAGGAGAAAGGATTCTGAAAGAGATTCTCCTCTAAGGTTGTTCTCATTCAGCACTCTTTTATCTGAAACTCATCTCAAACTCACACAGGACAGCTATTCCATAACAGCAGCCTTATTATGACCCATACAAGAGTTAGTGTGGGCAATAGCCAACAGCATAATGAAGAAATCCTACCTTAAGTCTGTCTCGATATTATCCCCATTGTAACGTACTACCTAACATTTCTGAACTTAACCATAATAATTTCGTAACACAACAGTAGCATAATAGTATCTCTCTTAGAATTGTATGTGGTTAAAACATACAGACATTAGGACATTGAGATAAGTACAGTACAGTATAATAGTTTATATTGAACTGGGAGGTTGAGTTGAAGGCTGTTTGTGACATGTAATGTTAGGTGAGAGGTGTTTGTGCTGTGGCTGGGTGTTGATCATATGTCACAGGTTATAATTAGTAATGGTCAGAGTGCTGCAGGAAAGGGAAGCAAAATGTGAGAAAGAAGCAGAAATTGATGCTGTTTATTCAGATCACTTTTCTTTACTATTTAGGAATCACCTGCGTCCCAGTAATGCTGACTTCCCATCCGTCTTGTCAGAATCCAGTGTTAATGAAAAGGTAAACATATTTATAGTTCAAGAATTTTGTTACAAGACCTTGGCAGAAATAGTTGTTATTTCCTGCTTTTTTTTTTTGCAGATGATTCAAAGACCACATTCAAAATCTGGTCCCCCCTGTTTGGAAGAGCTAGTATCCAAGGAAGAAAAGGCGATTGACATTGCAGTAAAGCCCACCACAGATCAGTTTATCAACGACATCATAAGCTCTACTCCTGAACTGAGGCAAATTCATGGCTGTGTGGATGCAAGGTAATAATATGAAACCATGAACTATTTTTTCCAGTGAAAATTATGTGTAATCATAAACTAAACCCACGTTCACTTAAGCTCATCAACATGTTCACACAAAGCACATCAAAGCTTTATGTATTTTCTCACATTTCTTACTCTTTCATTTGCATCATCATCATCATCATCATCATCATCATCATCATCAGCACTCCAGTTGCCAGACCTAACACCAAAGAGCCATCGAGAGATGAGTTGGAGACCAGCTTGGAAGATGAGATTGGGGAGGTGGAGGAGGAGAAGGAGGGAGAGAAGGAGCGCAGAGTAAAAGAGGAGCAGGGAGGAGTGAGGCAGGAGAAAGTCGAGGAGGAGGAGGTTGAGGAAGATGATAGTATGGAGTGGGAGCTCCGCAACACTGATTCTGTATTCTCTGAACTGTCAGAGCTGAGTCGGGACTATGTGGAGAGTGTAGACCGAGGGGCAAGTGTCAGAGGTAAGCCCATGAAGAAAACACATTTAAAGACCTTTTTCACCAACACGGTTGATTTACTCTCTCTTCATCTTAACCAGAGGTTTAATTTACGGTACAAAACGCTAACTGCCCAGTTATCCTTTTGTAACCCTCCACCAGGTGTGCATTCATCTGACAGCAGAAACAAACAAATGTCTCCATAACAATGCCTGTGTTGTGTTATATGCAGCACTGACACTGACAAAGTAACCGATCACAAACAATGGAGGTGACAGAAGGTCTATTTCTAAAAAAGAATAATGTGGCAATGGTGAGAAACTGTTTATACCCTGTTAACCTGAAGTGCAAGTACATCAGAGAAAGAGGTCTGGCTGTAGGTTTCATATATGTTTACTTCCTTGTTTTACCATTCCATGTAGTCATTTTTTCTTGGATGTGAATCAAGAGTAGTAAATAGTACTAGGAGTTACATGTATATCTATAGTTCTCAATGTGATCTTTGTGTTCAACCATTTTTAACACACTAATTTTTTTCTGTGTAGGTAGTACAGACCAGTTTGAGGAGATTCTGTCTCAGTATGAGGAACTGAAAGTCACCCAGTGAGTCCTATATTTAATTTCTCTGACCTTGTTATGACGACTGTAGTGTGATTCTTCTGCGTGTGCAGGGGATTTTCCAAACACTTGCGTTTCTTGCTTTAATACAAACAAATCAATAGGAGGAGAAAAGATTCTGTAGTCTGTAATTTGTTGGAACCGTTTACTCTCTTTACCAAAGTTATTGTCGATTTCATCATAATTTTAAATTATTATCTTTTGTTCTGTGACTTCTTCTCAGTGAGTTAGTAGAAGCTGCTCGTAAGGCTGTGATATCTCGGGTGGTAGAGCTGACTGATGACCGTTCAGCTCTTACAATGGAAGTGGCCTCCCTCCAGGAGACAGTCTCACGATTAGAGGGCCGGATGAAGGAGAAGGAGGAGGAAACTAAGAGGTTAGAAGATTATTCGACATGTTTTTCTATTTTAATATTGTTTGTTAATTCTTTTTTTGGGGAAAAAATTAAGTAACATTTTTGTTATAACACTGTACATACTGCTGTTACAATAACTCCATACTTAATATATTATGATTATATACATATATGTATAATCACTGTGTTTCATAGACTTCGGAAAGAACTGGAAGCATTCCAATCTGAGGATCCTGATGTAAGGAGAGATATTTATTTTCAAGCTTTTGTCTGATGTAGTGCAACAGTAGCACTGCACTAATAAGTTTTTTAAAAATTGGTAGCTCACTGTTCATTAAATAGCATGAATCTTTTCATTCAGGCCTCTCTACCCACATCCATGCGCAACTTCTCTCGTTCTGAAATGGCTCGTGTGGTCATGGAGAAGAACCAATATAAGCAGCGTCTGTTCGAGCTGCAGGAGGCAGTAAGACGGAGTCAGACACTCAGGTAACTTTTCTACTGAATCAACATCATTTTATAGGTGTTTTGTTTAAAGATTTTAGATTTTTTCAATGTTGATGTCTGTTCTAAAAGTTTACAATTTGGCTTAAACAAGAACAAATGTGTTTCATGCGTCTCCAGCCTCATTTAGTGCTTTTTCCTTTTTTTATAGAGCAACAAAGGAGGAAAAGTTAACAGAGGAGAAAAGGTCAAGTGTTTGGAGAAAGTAAGTGGCAACCTGAGCATTATGCATGTTTGAATGATGCTCAGTACATGCCTGAGAGGGAAGAATCTTGTTTTTGTCTGTAAAGCCACTTTAGGCATTACTTCAAACAGGTGCGCTAAATAATATGTTGTAGTCAGCACGGTCTGTATGAAATATGAATGACGTCTTTTTGTTTGTTCTTTTCAAGGTTCAATCGCATTTTTGGCCTGTCCAAGGAACCCTTAATCCCGCCTCCTACTTCTGCATTTGCCCTGCCAACTTCTCCATCACTCACTCGCTCCCCTCTGGGGTCTCCACAAATACCGGCTGTCCATCAAACTCATGCTGAGTAAGCTAGTGTTTGTGACCATGTCGCTCTTGCATGTGCTCCTCTATTTACACCATTATTTGGAACAAAATGAAATAATCATGAAAAAGGGCTCAGTCAATGTAAGGCTCAGTCCAGCTGATTTAACACCAGAAGCCTTCTCTCTAGATCTGCTTCTCCTGCTGCTCTCTCCCCTCGTGTCAGGAGGAGAGAACTCTACAGAGACATTCGCTCCCACATTTGGGGATCACTTGGAAAACGGCAGATACATGGCTGGAGCACACCACTGGCAAACACACAGGTAGTAGAAATGCACATATAGGTGCACAGAAATGCAGCAATCTGAGAGGGAATGTTGAAGAGTAAATAATTATAAATTGGCCTAAAGCTCCCTTGATGAGTCTGAACTGTGCATTTTGTTAACTGACAGCATTTATTCAAACTAAACCAATGAAGATTGAGAAAGTTACCCTTCAATTCATCCTACTACATTGGATGGATGAGATTTTTCGCAGGGAGTTTAACATACCTAGATATTTCCACAGTCCTAACAACGTCCTGGTGATTAACTGTCATTATTGTAGGACTCAAATGAACCTGTACCAGAGCCTAGAGATGTGCCTGTCCTAATGCAGCTCAGACTGTTGGATCAAAGAGATTCCACAGCTAAGGTAGATATTCTTTTCACTTTAAAACATTTTGAACACAAGCAGCCTTTACATCATACCTCCAGTGTATTTAAACGGGTTTCCTAACTTATTTCTCTCTTCAGCTAAACTGTGCAGTTGCTGTCACACCTGAGGTCTCTGGAGAGGCCACAGTAAGTCTGTTATTATCCCAGTTAAATTGCAACTTCGACTCTAATAACTATGTACAATGGCATCCAACCATAACTAACACTGCCCAGGGATGTGTTGTTTCATGCCACTCATCTTTTCAAACTCCATATCCGTCCTTGTTTGCCAGTGTTCTGTGTGGGTAGTTTCTGGACCTGCCTTCAGCAGCGATATTACAGTGATTGATCCAGCACGGTCCAACACTGTACTGGATAACTTCAGCCTCCCTCCTACAGCTCCTGCCCTCTGCATCTGTGCTGTGCCTCCCATAGGTCGGTGCCAGTATGATGGGCTGCAGCAGCAGACTACTTGTCTAATGTACTCTGTACTTGTATTATCCCCTCATACCATACTGATCATTTACTGGAAACATTTGCAAAGCAACAGCACTTACTTGACCTTTGCTTTTGACACTTTCCTGTCTTGTTATGTCAGGTGACACTGCAGGAACTGTGTGGATTGGAACTCAGGAAGGAAGGTAGTGTTTGCTGAATAAGCAGCTTACTTCAATAAATAACGCTTTGTCTGAGGAAAATACTTGTTGATAAAGCATTCTGACCTGCTCTCTCTTTTGTTTTTTCCCCCTGTTTTTCTCCCCACTGTCTCTGTCTCACAGTGTACTGGTACACTCAGCCTCTGCTGGCAGGAGGCGCTGTCTGCAGTCAGTTTCCCTCTCAGAGGGAGTTCATTCGCTCACGTGAGTTTTATCCGCTCTGTGTTTAAAGAATATTTGTATTGGTATTTAAAGGAGGATGTATTGGCAGAAATAGAATATAATATGCATAATTATGTTCTCATTAGCATATAATCACCTGAAAATAAGAATCGATGTGTTTTAGTTACCTTAGAATGAGCTGTTTTTATCCACAGAGGGAGCGGGTCCTCTTTAATGGAGGCCGCCATGTTGAACCACCATGTTTCTACAGTAGTCAAGAACAAACTAAACACTGGCTCTAGATAAAGCTTTTAGCATTTATTTTGTAGTTTCTTCTACACGCTGGGAAGGGGAGCGATACTCAGTTGGTTACAACCTGCAACTAATCTGCTAGATGCCACAACATCCTACACACTGGTCCTTTAAACTTGCATTTAATATTATATAACAATAATTATTGTCTGTCTTTATCTGCCATTGTGTTATTTTCACAGAAATATTTGAAAATAAGCTGCTTTTTGTTGACTCAATCTGACAGGTATTCCCAGGGTCAAGTTATAGCTGGTTTAGCTGATGGGACTCTAGCATTTTTCTCACACAGTTCAGGTAATGGTTTCCTCTTATAGTAATATCTGACTGTTAATCTCTCTATCCCTTTTTAATGCTTCACATAACTTACTGTTTAGTGGCATTAATAAAATAATGAGTGCTGTGATTGACAGATGGCTGGAATCTACAGTCACACCATGTGATGCCTCTTGGATCAAACCCTTTGCAGCCAATTCGCTGCTGCCTTGCAAAAGGTAGCCGCCTGTGGGTGGGATATTGGAACAGAGTCCATGTGGTTGACATCGACAGCAAGAAGGTTGAGGTACGGAAAAGAGGAGGAACCCACTTTGACTCACATTCACACTGTCTTTAAGCTCACCATCATTATTCCTTATCTGACCTTACAGCAAACATTTGCAGTCTCTGAACGCAGCGAACAACAGGTTCGTTTCCTGTGTGCTGGTGGAAGCGGTGTTTGGACATCTTGCCGACTTGACCCAATCCTCCGGCTGTTTGACTGGTCCACAGGACGGCCGCTGCAGCAAGTTGATTTTACTGCTTTGGTCACTAAAACATTAGGTGCTTAAACTTTTTTTTACTTTTTCTTTTATTACACATAAATCTATTTTTACTGTAACAATAATACATTCACAGTTTGACATATACAGTGTGCCTATCTGTTAGCTCTGGAATCTACTGTATTACAGTGTGTTACAGCATAGTGTAGTCATTTCCTATAAGGTTGGCAGACACAGTTTAAGCTTTGGCTCCCACCAGTGTTTGTGATCAGCAGATCAGCTTTGATGCAGTTTGTTTTCCTTGTTCCCAAATTCCCCTTTTTGGGGAAAGGAACTTCAACCTGTGGTATTTAGGAAATTCTTTATTTTCAAATGTTTAACAGTTATATATTTAATCAGCCATTGTTGTTGTTCTTAGTTCCAGGTTCTCTTTCGGTTTTTGGCAGCCATTAATAATCAAACTGAAAAAAGGTCCAGAGCCAGAGGAATAAAACATAAATCAATGGATTACAAATGCTGGATTTATTATTGGTCACCATATCTGAAATCAGATATAGAATGTATAATTTTTGTTTTGTGTCAGGCAACAACTCTTTCCTGCAGCTCACCTAACGTGTGTCTGTTTCCCTCTGCAGGCCAAGCCTTCCTGACACTCTCGCCTCTCCAGATCTCGTCTCTCACAGTCATCTCTGCCCGTCTGTGGGTTGGCACAGGAGGTGGTGCCCTTTTCTCCATCCCGTTATCCATAAGTGAGTTTTATTTAGACTGAAAGCACAGGTACTTGAATTTTATATTATCAGAAATGTGCTCTATCTCGTAATTACTATATTAATGACCGCCTACAGCATCAGAAGCCGTTTCCATACCATACTGCTCCACTGCATCAGCTCAGCTGTGTTACCATGGACATAGACAAGCTGTCCGGTTCATCATTGCTGCACCTGGTAAGAATCTGATTGAAACATTTTCAATAACTTATCATTGGAGATCCTTTGAATCACTTACATGCTGTATTTGTCTTTTAGTGACCATGTAATGATCTTTGGCCCACAGGTTGTTTGATCACCTCTCCTGGCAGCAGCACCGTCACTACCTCTCAGCTCATCCTCAGTGGAGGGGAGGGCTACATCAACTTCCGAATTGGTGAGTTGAAGGAAAACGCCTTTGTACTTTCAAATTGTTTTAAACTGTCTGACATAATGGATCAGCCTTTCCTGCTGTAAGTAATAAATATTTACCATGCTTAGTTTATTAAATGCCTAACTGAGCCATCCACTTTCTCAGGTGATGACGAAAGTGAGGGGTCGGTTGAGTCCTCACAAGCTACACCTCGGCGGTCTGAACGCAGTCACATGATCATCTGGCAGAATCCCACCTTCTCTGTGCCCAGCCCTGCCCTCTGACATTGTTCATCTCCTAGTTCTGCCATTTTGAAATGAGATAAAGATGGAGCAGACATGTACTGTACACCAGCACAACTTGAGACAATATTGAAAACGGTGCATTCGTGGAACTGGATGAACCAACGTCTCAATGTGGCAGCAATAAAAGTATCCTCTTAAAAAAATATATGATACATACTGCTCAATCCTTATTTACCTCATTCATTTTGTACATCTATCTTTTGACTGGATTATCCTAATGGAGGATGATGCTTTACTGTGTGCCTTCATCTGATTTTATATAATTTCTGTAGAACTGGTCAGTAATTCAGCTGCCTGATGGCTCATTTTACCTTTGCACTAACAATGCATTCAGTTTCCCTGACATACAGCGGCTCTCTGATATACTTTTCTACCAGACATTTTTTGTTGATGTTCATTCTATCAAGGAGACACCGGGTCTCTCCATCTATGATAAAGTTTAACTTAATAATGTGGCTGTTCTTGAAGCTGCTGTGTACATACTTTGTTGTTAACTGTGAACTGGAAACATGTATTGGTCTTCTCTCTGCGTAAAGACAATCAGACACTTCCTATCTCCTGATGCTGCCTTGAGATTGGGGATAACTTCTTTTGATTGTGATGTTCACTGCAATTTATTTTCAATTCTACCCCTCCACATCACATGTGGAACGATTACTAAGACAACCATTTGAAATGGGTGTCTTTTAAAACAGTTTCAGTGCTTATCCTTAGAAATTATTTATTTTCTTAATCGGTTCATTGTTATTTGTCCTTGGGTGTATTTGTTTTATGTTTTAATTTGATTTCAGTATCTTTTGTAAAATAAGGGAGAGAAATTCTTTCAAGTATCCTATGCAGTATTTATGTGAAATTACAGGTTTGTGCACACATGTTGATGTCATAGTAGCTCCTTATCCATCCTGGAAAGACAATTAAGACTTGAGTATTCTGTTTGACTCGACTTTGTGCAAACATGATTATTGTCAATAAAAATGTCTTCAATGATTAATATAGTGACTTTAATTCTTGCCATAATCTGGTGCAGCAACAAAACACACACGGTTAAGTCAACAGATGAATGAATAACTGCAGTGGAAATCACCAAAATAATACATCAGATTTAATCTCTTTAATCTTTACATAGTAGAGCATATTGTATTACATTGTAGTCTGCATACAACTTTTTAAGCAGTGAGGATTCTCTCAGTTTCTTCTTGGGAAAACAAAACGAAATACAATGACAGGTTTCTCTTCTTGTGAACGAGGTGTTTGGTAACTGCACAATAAGCGTTTGTGAAGGGAATGACAACCAGCAGCGACACTCCTTTGCCTCTGGCAGTTTGTCCTGCTGCCTAGTTAAGGACAGCCCTTCATACAACAACAGTCAGTCAATTAGTCAGTCGATCGTATCTTTGAGATCCACCTCCTATGTTGGACTGCTGTGAGTCCTTGGGATCCGTATCCTGCGGCTGAGGGTCCGTGCAAGGCGGTCCACTGCTCCACCCACAGTTCCCTCCAACTCCTTTTTGGATGTCAGACCCTCAATATTGCCACTGTACCACATGACCCAGCCTGCCAGGGACATTAGCACCAGCAGGGCTCCTGTGTACACCAGCAGATCTCCAAAGTCTCTGCCTTGGATCTCTAGTGGAGCGAAGACCCCCACCAGCAGGGATGTCACACCCATCAGGTCCATCAGCACAGCAAACACCAGGGCCAGCTTACAGTGGGACAAGCCATCATATTTGACTGCCATGATTGCACTGAAAAGGAGAAGGGAGGATGAACTCATGAAATGTGGACATCATATCAAATATCTTCTAATTCCATAAATAAAACCGACAAATACAAACTAATTAATGAACTAAATGAATATTTTAGTAGTTTTACATTCATCATTCACCATACTGGCTTGTGTTTTCTTACATGTTTTACACTGACCCTGAATTTCTAGTCAAATCAGGTGCCACACCCTTTTCAAAAGATCATATAGACCAATAACAGCAATGTCTATATTATCACGAACACATTTAAAGGGAAAAAAGAAATCCCACTTACCGTGACGTTCCTAATTTTAAAAGTATTTAACATTCAAACGTGCTTACAGCGGAAACCGTCCGACTCTTTCTGGATCCACTGTGTAAGCCACTAGTCCGCAGTGAAACCTGACACCTCACCTGCTCTACCTGTCCTGCAGTGTTACTGTCGCGCGTCTCAAAGCCAAACTGAAAGTGGAAAATTTTGCTGCACATTATTATATTTTTTTTCATAGAATTGAATTATTCCAGACTAATAGGTATTTATCAAGCGACTTTCTCCTGAATATATTACTTAATCGTACACAGGATTATTTATTTTTTCCCCACATTATAATATTTTTAAATATGTTTTTTAAAAGACCCACCGGTTTAAATATTATCATAAGCTAAATAAATTGTGCACAATAAGCCTCTGTGGCATTTACTTTTTTTTTATCCGTAATGTTTACATTCTTGTGTTTACTAAACACGACCGTTAATTTCATTACATCCGGAAATGACGCAAGAGGGTACTGAAAAAATAAAAGAGCGATAATTGTTATTGTTAGCTTGTTAGCTAGCAGACGAACTCGTGAATGGAGATATGACAGAGTAATAACGTCTTATTACATGTGCACGATTAAGTTATTACAAACGTTAAGTGGTATGTACCAATTTCTGCACAATATGTTGGTAGAATAGAGATTCTAGTAATGTCTGAATGACAGAAATAAACAGCGAAGTGTACAGAAATGATGGAATTGCAATTTTTATAATCGTAGCTAAATTCTTGCTAACGTTATGCCAAGCTAACGTAGTGCGGAGCTAATGTGAACTCGCCTCCGCGCTGTGAACAACCAGGCCGCTACAAAACTTATATTTGAACAACACACCAAGTTGTTCTGTTTCAGTTTATACGTGAGTGACCAGAGAGGTATAAAATAAAATTAGCTTTGGTTTGCTGGCTGTTGTCTCAGCTTGCAAATTACTCGAGTCCACATTATGAAAGCTTCCCAGTGAACTGTACCTAATGTCAATGATTGTGATTATAAGCGCTGTATATACAGTGAAGGCATTTGTGCACTGCAAAGTGTAAAATGCCCCAGAAAGTTCTTTAGTACAGCTAAACTGTGACATTTCTTTAAAGTCTTAAACTAATTAAACATTGTTCACGTTGTCTGTTGTATGAGATGGAGGACGGAAACAGGACTGATGCTGCTTCCACATCCAAAAGCCATGCAGGCTCACTCCACCTGCAGAGTAAGGTTTTAAAGGCTACTAATAAACAGGATTTTCTGCCTGTAGGTCAGACATCATAATTAATTAATACTGTGCATATTTTATCCTGTGCAGCTCCGAAAAATGAGGACACCTATGAGATTGCCATCCCCTATGAAGAGAACAACTTTGAACAGCAAGGATTTTTCAACCAGAGTGATCAGAATTTTGATGGTGAACGTCAGAGTCAATACTATAAATCTCACTTTCATTTCATTCTTCACATATCACTTCACAGTTTCTTGATATACGATATTATGATTTCCCAAACTATCCTGTCTGTCCTCCTCAGAGTCACCCCCGTCTGCTGGCCCGTCTTCAGTCAACAACTCATACATGGTGATCACTAACCTGCGGACCCAGCTACAGATCTCTCTGGAGAAAAACTCTTGGCTGCAGAAAAGAATTGAGGACTTGGAAGAGGAGAGGGACTTCCTCCGTTGCCAGCTGGACCGCTTCATCTTTTCCACAAAAAGCCAGGGACAGGAGCAGCGTCAGAGCCAGTACAGTAACGGTGAGGACAGGGGACGGGACCTGTCTGACAAGAATTCAAGTACAAGTTGATTAGAAACAGAAGGGAAGGGAAGTCTCTGTGGATGGAAACTAACTCTTTCCTCTTGGTATTTGTGTCTCTGTAGGTTATGAATCTAGACGGTTCAACTGGAGGGCAAGAAGAGAGGACGATCGTCCCGCTGGTAACAAACAAATATTTATGCACTTCTAACTCATGGTTAGAAGTACTTGTGCTGAAGTGTAGCCTGTTCATGCTTTATTGTATATATGTATTTCATCTTAGATTGCAGATTCTATTATGGCTTTCTTTTCTTCATAGAGCAACAGAAGACGGACTCACAGCATTTCCCCTCACGCCCGTTTATCCAGCGAAGGCCTGGTCCTCCCACCATGGTGCCTTCCAAAAACCATGTCTCCAGTCCACTAACAAATCAACTTGCCTCTATTAATGCGTTGTTCAACTCTACACAATCCCAGGCTCTCTTGCAAGGCCATAGCCATAGTACTTCCAGCACCACAGCCAGCGGCAGCAACAGCAACAGTGCCACAAGGCCATCCATGAATGAAATGAGTGGACATAGCAACTTAGGTCCAGGTAATACAAATGGTACAAAGCTTTCAATCTCTTTAACTGATCTAATACTTGGGAGGGGAAAATGTTTTCCTATTAGCCGGAGGCAATCTGGTGGGTTTTGCTGAAGAAATGTTTTATGCTCTCATCAGATTCACTTTCACTCATGGGAGAATCTGAGGAGTATTTGGAGCAGGATGGCTACCTCGAGGAGGAGGAAATGATATCAGGGGAAGATGTAATGTCGGATACCATTAACAGCAACAGACACCAATTAAAAAGGAGGCGGGTCTTCCGAGCCCCTAGAGAGCGGCAGAGAGGTAGGGGAAGGATAACAATCCTGCAACAATTTCATTACTCAACCATAGTTGTTATAAGACTGCTGTACCTAACTCTCTTGTACAATATTGTTCTTCAGTGAAAGATGCTGCTGGTGTGCTGTTTCGCTACAAGAAGATCCTCCTTACATACCAGCGTCTGAAAAATATGTCCAAAGCCTTCCAAATTCATGGTGTGGACCGCAACACGGTGGCTTCCACCACACCCATTGCTGAGCTGCTTCTAGTGGCCCCAGAGAAGGTGGCGGAGGTGGGTGAGTTTGACCCATCCAAGGAGAAGCTGCTGGACTATGCCCGGCGCTGCTACACTGCCCTGGATGAGGAGACACTCAGCAGGGTGCAGGCCCTGAAAAAGAATAACCTGCTTCTGCCCATCTCCTACAGGTTCAGACACTGAAGGGAGAAAGACAGGGGAATGGGAAGTGTCTCTGGACAACAGTGGAGTTGGTAGTTAAGTGAGGAGAGAAGAGGCAGTTGAGCTCTGTTGCAGCAGGTCAACTCACCTCTGAGGCACAGAGATGTTCAGAGGCTTGAGGAATTATTTTGCTATCTCAGCGTCCTGGATATGGCCATGTAAACTGCAGCTGAGATCCTCAGACAGATAAACTTTTTACACCTCACTTATATTATCAATATGTTGAACCGGATTGTCATGTTTCTTTGACAGATCATCACCATTGTTCCAGTAATGTTGAGGATGTGGGAGTGTCTGCTGCAGCATGAAAGGGAAAAAACATGGTTCCCATTGCTCAGAGATGACATGACAAAATGGCGTGTCTGTGTGATTGGGAATTTGTGAACAAGAATGTAGAGAGGGGTTTGATATTCTTCAGTACTTAAAGGAGTGTAACCAACTTAGCTCATTCATGTTTCAACCTTGAGGTCAGACACACAGACCTTTCCTAAACATCTGGAATAGATTGAGGCCAGTAAGTCATAAAAAAAAATAGCAATTTTTATCACTTTATTTCTGTGCAATCCTAAAAATTTGGTACTTTTCAATCACAGTGTCTGTGCACGTTAAAATTATGCTGCAATTCATTGACTTTGTAAAATTATGCTGTACTTTATACTTAAGTTTAAGAAATGCTTCTTTCCTTTTGTTATATTTTACTCAGTGTGTTTGTAGCATTATTTTTGGTCATTGTCATTATATTCTCAACCATTTTCACTTGCCTTAATGCAATTCTTGTGATTTCCTTGTGTAAGACATGCAATGGTTTTGGATCACTTTTGCTCCCTTTACACACAATGCATTAGAATTGTTTTGCGTTCTCTTTTCCTTTCTATTCCTCCTGTTTTAAAGCAGGGGAGAACTGGAGAACTGACTATGGTAAAGACTTGTCCAGTGTTATGTGGCGCAAATACATTTTTGACAATAACACACTTCTGGCAACAAATGCCACTCTTTTTTGATAAAATCAAAGACAGACACGAATATGTTCGTGATATCGTATGTGTTTAACTTATATAATAAGACATGTTGGTCTTGGGCCCAGTTTTAACAACAATACAGCATTACTCTGTTGTTCCACTAAGAGTTGTACCAACCCTTTTTGTAAATGATCTGCACTAAAATACAGTAAATGTCACTTCTTATGCTTCTGGTATTGAGGCTCTTTTGATGTTTTGGTGACAACAATACCTTTTGTAAAATACGGTACAGAGTTTTTACTATACTAGCTATTTGTAACATTGTGTAACTTTTGGTTCTGTGTGAAAAATTGTGGACATGAATCACAAACAGTTGTGAGTAACAGTATTAGCAAAAGCAGTTAGCTTGTGCCCACGGACGATCTATCATTGCTTCCCAATACTCCACTACAAATGCATGTGAAAAGAGCTCTTTGATGGTCCATAGTTTATAGAGGTCTGGTCGAAAATTTGTCATTTTCAAAGCAGCAGACATGTTGATTATATTGTATGACAATGTGTGGTGTTTTACCGGTACAGTGATATGATGAACACATTGATGAATTACATTACATTAACACAGATTAGGTTACAGTGGAATACAGTGACTCTCGGCTTAAATTTTCATATTTCAATAACCTTATTCCTGAAAGTAAACAGACATAAGTACTGTAAACTGTAATGTCATCTTCACTGTCTGTCTAAGGTGCAGTGTAACTGTTAAGCAGACTTTGCAAACTCGTACCAGGGTGCTGTGTTTTAAAAAAACAACAACATTTATCTGTCCCATTTTTATGTATATTGAGTGAAACGTATCTCACTGAAGCATCATTCATTTAAGTAAGACTAAAATACCATGAAGGCATTTGATTTCTTACCAAACTGTAGAGTTTCAGTCTTTAAATACCAACATCACCATTCACTGGAATAAATGCTTATGATTGGGGACTTAAGGTGATTCTGTTATATGTTTTAGCCTGTCTGTGCGGAAGTGTGCATACATCATTGTGTACAAAAATCACTTTTGTTCTTTGAAGAATCAGGAAACTGGGCAACTACGTTGTGCAGTAAATGGTCTTTCAGCTAAAAGAAAATGTGGCTTTACTTTGAGCACTTTATTTCGTAATTGCCTCCAGTTAAAAATAGGTAATCAGAACTCTATCCTTGGAGGGAAACACTGAATATGGTCTTATGGGATAAAGAGTTTGTGAATATTTTTTTGTTCATTTGATAAACCCAGTGTTAACATTTTGGTATTAAAATAAATATGACAAATAGCATTGAATAACGTTTCTGCCCCCCATTTTTTCTTTCCTTTTTCTTTTAACAAAAACATTTTGTTCAAGACTCCAATTTGAAACTCTTCACTTGTCAAGAGTCGGAGCGAACAACCTGGAAAATAAAACGTCGTTCCTGCTTTTACACAATGCATTTTATCATACGGCCATTGGGGGAAAGAAGAAGGGATGAATAAGGAGCTTCACTTTTCTTCTCTGTGACCCTGAAGAAGCTCCGAAGCGTCTTCTTCACTCACCGGAAACGTGTCATTCATCAACTTCCGGTGTCACGGGGTACCCGGGAGACGGAGCAAAAAAGCGGGCATACCGAAATCTTTATTGTTTTCGCTCGGCGTAAAACATTTGAATGCGTATACATTTGACTTATAAAGTCACACAACTGCGCCTTATGGGCCAGTGACCGTCCGGGATTTGCATTTGGCTTTGAAAATAGTCTCATTCATTCGGATTTCGCTTTAGCTCGCTAGCTAACAGGCTAACCAGCGTCCGGAGCAGCGGGCCTATTCTTCTGGACTTTGCTACGAGCTAGTTAGCCACCGTTAGCAGGCTAACCCGAAGCGAACACGTTTTCTTTCTCAATGATTTTCTCTGTTACGTTGTAAATGAACACCACACCGCCCACGTGTGTGCTGGCTAACTGTTTCTTTGTAGTTTAGTCGTTACATAAGCTGCTAGTCGAAGTGAATTTACTCGAGCTACACCAGCGAGGCGCTTGTTGTGTGGTTTTTTTTTTTTTTTTAAAGTGTTGTTCACTTTGTTGCTAGCATAAGCTAGCCACCGCCAACTGAACAACGCAGTCGCTGAAAGCGTCGCAGCCTTCAACTCACAGAGATGTCGGACTTCGACGAATTTGAAAGGCAGCTCTCTGAAAACAAGCAAGGTGAATGACCCAGTCGTACTTCGCCAATCGGTGTGTTATTGGTGCTTTAATGTTGGGATTGCCGCCATCATGTTAGCCTACCACGGATGTGTCTATGTGCTGGAGCATTGTGAGCTACATTATTAGCCCCACAGTGTTGTACCACCTGATTGTTCGGTTGTGGTTGTAAGTTAGTGTTGCGCGTCGGTCGGTACTGGCTAACATTAAATAGTTTTTGTAAATTAGTGTGTAAATGTTGGTAGCTGGCTGAGCTGTTTGAAGGTAACTCGCGTTGTGTCTTTAAGGCAGGGGCAGTCTATATCATGGTAGTTAGCCTGCCTGTGCCAGCTGACTGACTGGGGTAGCTAGCATTCTTTATTTATTTATTTATTTATTTTTTTAGTAGCTGCTGTGTCCAGTGAATATTTCTACTTTTATATACCTATTATTGCCACCCGCTTTCTCACACCCAGCCAATAATGCCACCAAACCATAGCCATTGCCCTTATCCCACATTAAGCTCTCTTTAACCTGGATTTACATTTACACTCAATATACTGCACATAGGTAGTAGACAATGTCAGGATTAGAGCTGGCCAAATTTCATATTATGACGCGTTGAACCAAAACTTTAAACTGTATACATCTTTTGTCCAGTTTTAAGTTTTATACAGAATGGATACATTGCATTGATTATGCATGGAGAGATTCATACTCGGTGGTCTTGCTCATTGCCTATCTAAGTTCAATCTATGTGTATATTTCACTTTAAAATTATTACAATCTATTAGTAATTGCTATCCGGTCATTGTTTCACTGGTAACCTGCTTATATTTATATACTGTTTTTGTAATTTAATAAGCACTCTGCACTCCTGCAGCTGAAAGGGATAAAGAAAACCGCCACCACCGCCGGTCCTCCTCCCGCAGCCGTAGCAGAGAGAGGAAAAGGAGGAGCAGAGACCGGGACAGACGCAGCAGGGACCGCCGTGGGGACAGTAAGGAGCGCAGACACAGACGCAGGTTTGTACCTTCATACAACTACACCTAGACCAGTAAGCTGTGAACATCATCATACATCCCTCCCTACTGGCCTTGCAGTACATATATTTGCCACTGGATAAAAATTAAGTGTTTCAGACTAGTAAATACCAACGCTAAGAAATATGAACTACATATCAACCTGGATGTGCACACACATGTTTTTGCCATATTAACGTGTCTTCCCTAGATCCTCGGCTTGGTCTTGGCACTCGACCAGTCGCCTACTGTGTTGTAGGTGGCTACAAACTCAAGCTAATGCACACAGAAAATGACACTCGTCCAGTAGCATTGACTAAATCCTTCCAAGCCCACTCCTGTCATCCATTCAGAATTTCAGGGGGTTGATGCCACAAACAGGTGTCTGCAGCAAGTTGTGACTTTAAAGTGTAGCTGTGGATCACTGACTTTATATTTAGAAAATGATCTCAATAACCGACTTTTATATAGTCTATTTTTCTCTGTCATTTTGCGGTACAAATTGGACAAACATCTTGAATACACAAAGTAACGGCTGCAACCTCTTTTATAATCGTATAACGTAATACAGGATATCAAGACTGAATTATAAATGGTTTGAGGAATCATTTCAGATCCATCCTTGAAACAAAAATCCCACCGCGTTAATATAAATTAAAAGAAAAAAAAAGTCTTAGTCACTTTAGATTCCTTACCCTGTTGTCTTTGACATATGCTGTATTTGTTTAATTGTCTAATTATGAGCTGCGCGGTTTGATAGAATCTCTTTAGGCCTGCGGCTGTGAGAACATTTTCATACTGGTGCAAGTTCTTTCCAGAACTGTTGATAACCACTTCCATGTGTGACAAGCCTGTCTGTTGTCAAGGCAACATGTTCACTTCTGGGCACGTAACACCTGCATGACATGATTAGAAGGGTTCAGGATAATATCTTTTGAAAAATATGCTTTTCAGTAACTCTGCTATTGATAGTCAGAGCTGCGGATTTTGTTTGTATAAGGTGGTTTGAAGTCACACATCTCCTTAGTGACTGCTTGAACGCATTATTTCTAACATGGACTTTTATAAAGCGTGTAAACTCTTCTTCCTGTTGGCTGTGAATGCAACCTTTGGCCTGACTGTTGCTCCCCTTCTCTCAGTGCTAATTTAAACCAAGTTACTTGCTGTCACACCCTTGGTCAGAAAATTTAAAATGTTGGGGACTGATAAGTTATCGTCCAATAAAGGGACATTTTTAATATAATTTAGTTTGATTTCCTATGCAAAACAATTTATAGGCTATGCTGGGAAAGCCAAAGTATGTTTGTGAAGTTTTGTAAGTACTTTACTGGGGGGAAACATTTGAAGAGTCAGATGTTTTCGTTGTTTTTTCGTCAGTAATGTCAGTTAGATTTGGTTGGATCAGAGTATGGAGTATTAACTCATCCATCTTTGCTCACTATATCTTAACCTCTCTTACACTCTGAACTTCTTTTCACCATACAAAAATGTGAAAGTTATCTTATCAGTATTGGCCATGAGAAGAAAGTAATTATCGGTTATCGTATTGGTTAAAAATATATTGGGCACCCCTAGAAAAATTCGACCCCTCCACTTTGCTGATGCTCTGTGTGTTTTGAGGATATTCTTTCTGCTTTCATTGCATCATCAGTTGTGGTGTTATACGTCAGCACTTAATGCCCCGGTTTGTCTGTTTGAACTTGAAAGGATTTTGTGCTTTTAGAAATATACAGATTGCCAAGGTCCTTGATAGTATTTTGTATTTGGTGATGGTTATAGTAATTCAGGTTCTAATTTTGTGAAGTGGAAATGTTGGTGTATGTCATGGTTGATTTGAGAGAAATGTGAAACCCTTCCAATGTCATTTCAGCTCACCATCCAGCTACCCCCAGGACAATGCTGGAAGGTAATACAGCAAACTAACACAAAGCCAGTTTGTGCATTATTGCAACAACTGCAATTTAATGTCCTGCCTCTGATTCTATGTACTATTGACTCATTGTGTAAATGTCTGCCTGGATGGGGTTTTCTGTCCCTTTTCTTCCCTTTACCACCACGTTAACACCTCTACAAAGTTTTGATTGACGGTGTCCCCAAACTGTTACTAGATTTGTGTAGTATATTTTTGAAGACATGACCCATCATCGGATTTAGTAGTTTATTGCTGTGCTAGAGATATCTGTTGCATGTTGATTGTTCTACTTTTATTTCATCTGTCCTCTCTTCTTCAACAGCCGTTCTCCACACCGGGAGAAGAAGAAGAAGGTGAAGAAGTACTGGGATGTCCCTCCACCTGGTTTCGAACACATCACTCCCATGCAGTACAAAGCCATGCAAGGTAAACCTCAGTTTTCTTGTCTTATTAAATTTGTTTTCAACATGCCCTTTAGTTTCACAGTTAAATATTTTAAATGTTTTGTTGTTACCTACATGTTGTACTACAGTGGTTAGTGCAACCATATATTACTGCAACACATCAGTAATATGCACATTAAGCTACGGTATGGTTATAAATATATAATCAGATTGTTAAATGTTTCCTGTCTTTGACTTTGCTCTCCAGCTGCGGGCCAGATCCCAGCCACAGCCCTTCTGCCGACCATGACTCCAGATGGCCTGGCTGTTACTCCCACCCCTGTACCTGTAGTGGGCAGCCAGATGACCCGGCAGGCCCGCCGACTCTACGTGGGCAACATCCCATTTGGTATCACAGAGGTGAGGAACAGGACAGCATTTGACGTTTGACTCCAAGTTTATAAACTTGTCTAAAGTTGTGTTTTTAATCCTTTCACCATTCATTCACACAATGCTAACTTAATTTCCTCCCTCTCTTCTCTGTAGGAGTCCATGATGGACTTCTTCAATGCCCAGATGCGTTTGGGTGGTCTAACTCAGGCCCCTGGAAACCCGGTCCTTGCTGTACAGATCAACCAGGATAAGAATTTTGCCTTCCTTGAGGTGAGATAATACACCCATAAACATGCCTTTGGGTGTTTGTCTGTTAAGCCCTGCTTGAAACAGTTTTGATAAGATACTGATAATGGTAAGATGGTAAGGGCAGATTATTCACCTGTAATTTTGTTCCTGTGTAGTTCCGTTCAGTGGATGAAACAACACAGGCCATGGCCTTTGATGGCATCATCTTTCAAGGCCAGAGTCTCAAGATTCGCCGTCCACACGATTACCAGCCCTTGCCCGGCATGAGCGAGAACCCCAGTGTCTATGTGCCTGGTACACAGACAATTAATGGTTTTTAACTCTAAGTACTTGTGGCATAATTCATAAGTAATCAGTCATTTCTTACCTAGAGGAGCTTGCTCCTTGTGCCTTACTGTTTGTGTGTTACTGTGGTGTTATCTTTTTGTCTCTTGTAGGTGTGGTGTCGACAGTGGTGCCTGACTCAGCTCACAAGCTCTTCATTGGTGGCTTGCCCAACTACCTGAATGATGACCAGGTCAGTATTTCTACATGAAACAAGCTCAATCCTCCAAACTGGGCTACAGTTGTAAAATGTATACTCTCTTGCACTTGTATTTTGTAATTAGGAATCACTCAACTTTAAGTGACTCTCTTGTCTGTGTCTCAGGTGAAGGAGCTGCTGACGTCATTTGGCCCCCTGAAGGCCTTCAACCTGGTGAAGGACAGTGCCACAGGCTTATCTAAAGGATATGCCTTTTGTGAATATGTTGATGTCAACCTTAATGACCAGGTAACCAATGCCACAGAAAGAACGATGTTTACAGGACATTTATTATATCCCCCCTTTTTTGATGATCAGACAAATACTACAGTGTCATATTAAACTTTCATAACTATGGATTTTTTTGAAAGTATAATTTAAAACCTCAATATTGTTACAGGCTATTGCTGGGCTGAACGGCATGCAGCTGGGAGACAAGAAGCTCCTGGTGCAAAGAGCCAGTGTGGGATCCAAGAACGCCACTCTGGTGAGTGTCCAAACGCTGGACAAATGACAGCAGGATGGTGGGAGGCTGGATGCTCTTTTTAGAATTGCAAAACCAGATAAAGACACATTGCTGATGAAATCTACTGGGGCCATATATCTGCTACACTATGGGACACACTGCTAAGAAGTGCAACTGTATTATTATTTTTGCAAAGTAGTCTGTTCTGCATACACAACAGCTGTTCACTACTATTGCGTGGTTAGTTGGCATGAGCAGCACTGCAATGTATGTCACTGAATTTTAATCAACAGTCACTGGCTTTCAAACTTTTAAACACTAGCTTTAAAGTAGGCGGCTACAATGTATTATTCATGAGAAATTATTACGGTATCATGGAAAGTAACCTCAAAATGTGATGCAACATATAACATAACATAGTGGGCCACTTTCACTGTCATTTGCCACTGAAAGACCTGTAGAGGGCTGGGACCAGAGAACTGGTTCCAAATGGTCTGATCAATCAGAATCTTGCACAAAGGAGCTTATCAGTTCCTTTATCAGTGTCGGGATGTTTTTCTGACACTTGCTCATTGCAAAACAAAGTGATTTAAAACTCATGTCTACACTACTGGAAACTTGTAGCTGTACAAGTATTCTTTAATTTTATCCATTTTAGGCGATGGCAGGCTGTTGCTACATCCTCCTTTTTATCTTAAAGCCTACGTTTTTCCCCACACAGAAAAAAGATCAGACCAATAAGCAGAATAGACAATGGCATTGGTATCAATAAAATCTTATCAGTTCCCCTCCCCCCTCCTGTAAGTATTTTCAGATGAAGAGGAGTATATTGCATTACATTTATATATTCTGATGGACATATTCTCTCAGCAAGAAAGAATGTTAGTAATTTACAAATTACAGCAGGACAATCAAAGCAGCACAAGGCTTAATATAAAATCAGTTAGTGGTACCTAGTAGTACATAAAACTGAAACTAGTGGACTAGAAGTATGCTAGAACATTTTTTGTAATTTATTTAATTGTGGTTTCAAGTGCCAGCAGTAGGGAAGGCCTGTCTACTTCATTATATGAAAGTGATAAATATGAGACACTGTTTTGGCCAGTAAGATTTAAATTGAATGCCATTGTAGATGTTTTGCAGCTAGTTGTGATACTTCAGTCCATAACTATCTTCTAACCTTTTTGTCTGTCCTTCCAGACAAGTATAAACCAGACCCCAGTGACGCTGCAGGTGCCAGGTCTGAACAGCTCAGTGACTCAGATGGGTGGCCTGCCCACTGAGGTGCTGTGTCTGATGAACATGGTGGCCCCAGAGGAGCTGCTGGATGATGAAGAATATGAGGAGATTGTGGAGGACGTCAGGGATGAGTGCAGCAAGTACGGTCAAGTTAAGAGCATCGAGATACCTCGACCTGTGGATGGCTTGGAGGTGCCTGGAACCGGCAAGGTGGGAATTGTTATCTGATTCAGTCATCCAGAATTTAATTTGTCTTAAATTAGATGTCCTGAAAAGTGTCATCATTCTAATGGTTATTTTTCACTCTTCTGCAGATCTTTGTGGAGTTCATGTCAGTTTTTGACTCCCAGAAGGCCATGCAGGGGCTGACAGGAAGGAAGTTTGCCAACAGGGTGGTGGTGACCAAATACTGCGATCCAGACGCTTATCACCGCCGGGACTTCTGGTAGAGGAGGCATGAAGACAAGACGGGGTGGGGGGGGGGGAGGGGGGGAGGGAATGAGGGAGGGTGGGAACGTGTGCTGTCCATTTCCAAATCAGCCCCCCGATGGATTTGGTAGAGCAACATTTCAGGTAGATCTTGGGAGTATTAATGATTTGACAAATGGCTTTGGTGATATCCAGTTTACCATTTGAGATCTACATGAAATGCCCAGCAGTTAAAACAGATACTTGGAATTGGAAAAGGAGAAGAATTGGGAGGGTTTATATTCAGTCCATAACAGAGGGGGCTAGGTTTGGGTGGAGAGGGTGTAGCTGGGTGGGTGGGGGAGTCAAAGATTTTTGAGAAAATGTGTGTAATAATAGGTCCAGGGTGGGGTCAACAATTTTTATACTTTGTGAGACAGGGATGTCATATTGGGTGGGAGGGGGGTGCCACACTTTAAGGTTTGTATTTAAATGGAGGTAGCCTGTTTTAAGAACATTAGGAAGGAGTTGCAGTAGGGAACTAACTGGACTATTCTGATTGAAAAGAGGGATTGAGAAAACAGGAGTGTTTATTTGTCAATGGGAGATGTGGGGGAGATGGAGAAGGAAGATGAGGGCATTCTTGTTTGACTGTCTAATGTAGATATACAGTAGCTGTAACATCAACTTCAGTTTTGCCCCCATTATTAGAAAGGCAAGAGGAGAGTCCTCATTTTTGATTTTTTTTTCTTTTCTTTTGGGACTCCATCATTTCTTCATGTTCCGTTTTCATCAGACTACTGCCCCCCTCAGGACGAGTGTCAGAATCTGTTGTTTAATTGGACTCTATCTGAATGTTAACTGTAATTATACTGTGTGTAGCTTCACTGATTTGAGCTGTAATATCACCTTGTATTCAGGCCGCAGAATAACATGAACTGCAGAAAAGAACGTTTGATTTTCTTTCTTTTTATTTTCTGTTTTTCACGTCCATCTTTTGTGCACAGCTTTTAACAGGTGGGATTGTTTTGTCCTGTCAGTCCAAATCCAGTTTAATTCAAGAGGAAATAAACAAAGGAAGATTGAGAGAGGCAAACAGATTGGCATTTAATTGTGGATTTATCTCTTCCTTACCAAAAAAGCCTTAATGTTAATACATGTCCAATTTGCTTATGAAAGAAATTCGGCTTGCCCCTTTGTCAATGATGTCTGTCTGTTCATAGATGTCACTAACTTGTACTTTAGCCTTGCATTACCAGTTTTCATTTTTCCTTGTTTCCCAGCAGATTTAGGGTGTAAGATGTGTTGGACCCGGTTGTTTTTTTGTGCAACGTCTCACCTCTTTGACCAAGACCAAATAAACACGTGACTAATACCCACGGCTCATGTTGTACTGCAGAGTGAAACCAAAACCACACAACTTCTTCCTGCTCTGTCAACTTCCAGCCCCATGTTTTTTTAAAAAAAGAAAGAGATTAATAAGTGATGTCTTATACACAGTAAGAATTACAATTAAACCTAATGCTTCAATAGCACATTAAAGCTTGCAGACAGAATTATTTCCACACACCTATCTAAATTTAAACAAATTTCACATTTTATAATGCTCACTCAATCAATTCACTAAATGTAAGAGGTAGTTGTTGGGATGTTAGAAACTGTCCGTATGTACTTAGACAAAAATCTGCTTTTCTCTCATCTCCCTCATCTTCTGCCCTTGATTCTCTGAGGACCACATGTTCACACTGTACGGGCTTGAGACTGCTTTCATTTGATACCTTGGGTTGCTTAAGACAGCACTGAAGAGAGATTTGTGTCAGTGATAACACTTATGAGATGTTACTCCCTACTTTCTGAAACCTGCTTTCTCAGTGTCACTGTGTCATTTAATTTCTTCTTTTTTTTTCTCTGGAAAAGATGTGATTTCTTAAATGATTTAAAACCTAAAAAAACACACCTAGTTTATAAAAAAGCAAAAACAGTCTTTCATTTGTCCAATTTGTTTTCAAATGTTGATTAAAAACTGAATTTACATGATTTTTTTCCTCCTTTATGTTTCCTCTCTTATGCACACCCACATTCCCCCCCCCGCAGCACGGTTTTATTCAAACAGTGAGTGATGACATTCACAGTTAATTATGGAGATGGAGTAGACTGGAGTCATGTCCAGCCAGATTCATTCAGTCGATGGCATCATTTATCAAGACCTGTAGTTAGTAGCAATGTCCGAACGATGGAGCTATTTCACAGATGCTAAAAATACCCCTTCAGATTTTTTTCTGTAATATGAAAACTATTATTACATATTACTCTCATACTGCAATATAATCTGGGTATGAGTACATTTCCCACATCTTTATAAATTTTCTTCTCCAAAAATGACCTTTTTAGCATCATAACCCAGTCAACTTATTGAAATATATGTACTTATCTTTCAGATCATTTCAGGTCTTATTTTAAACATAATTCACAGATTCGCTTCTCAACAAGACGAATGATCTTTCAAAAATCTCGCAAGCAGAGACGTGATGTGTGGAACTCCTTTTCTCATTTGGTGTAAATTATATCTTCCTTAAAGTCATACCAAACATATATGTAGACAATCTTCTTCTTGCCTATATTTGACACTGAATGTGTGTTTTTATATAATTTATTCTGAGCTAATCAATACGTTTTGAGCTTTTTCCCTCTCTCTGAATGTGTAATGTGCAAATAAATGAAATTCATGCTCGTGTTAATCCCCTTTAGCAGGGAGATTTATATAATTATGAACTGCTTAGGAAAAGCATCTTGTTCTTGAGTTGGAGTAGCATATATGCTTTACTCAGAAATCAAGTAAAGTTGTTTATCTGGTCTTTTTCTTTAGATTGAAGTCAGTGCACACAAGGCTTGGTCAGCAGCAATAAATGCCATAAGCTGTGTCCACTTGGGACCTATTCAACAGGGAGTTCCTGTAAAACAGTAACAGAAAAGCAACAAATCTCTGACATGAAATAATGTCCTGTGTCAGCTCTATACTGCCCATCTCCATCTGCATCGCTGCACCCCACTGCACAAAACACAGCAGCAGGGCCACTGATGCAACACTCACTACTCTGTTGTTCCCCGAGGGCACAGATAAAACAGCAGCTCTCCTGGGCTGCTGAAGCCACATCCACCAGAGGAAACATGTAAAACCGACACTGCCTCTCTTATGAGGACATTCAGGCCGCCTAACATGAGACCTATTAAATGTTATTAGCAGCCCTCCCCAGGCCTGATGCTGCAGTGAAGATTGTAAATACATTATCTCCCCCTAGTGGTGAATGTAAAACTCTAGTGATGGTCATTGTCATTCTGGGCAGTGCCTCCCCATTGATCCTCATTCAGAAAGATAGAACACTGCAGCAGTGGGAGAGTGCAACACTGAAGTAGGATGGATGCAGAACTCTGTGTACATTACGCCAGTTTGCATTCAGCACATAGGAGTAAAAAACATAATGCGAACATCCAATGGAAAAAGACTTTGACACAAATAAAACACTGGTGCAGAGAGATGTCAGGTTGACAGAGCACATTCTGACATGGCACAGTAGGAAAATCACAGGTTCAGATAAGAAAATTAATGATGGCTGAATTCCATTTAGCTGCTTCAATTTCAGGGTCCTGGTCGCACTTACAGGGACACTTGAATGGAACGGATGAACTGTGCTTTTCCTACTATGACAAGTCAAATGATCTGCTGTAATAAAGGCCTATAAGCACAGTTTGCCAGCAATTAAAGAAAAATGCATTCATATGTTTAAGGGGACAGTCTCAAAAGTCGTGACATTTGTCAAACACGGACAAACTGCACTTTAAAATGCAAACAGCAGAACTGCAGACCCATACAGTTTATAGTGAAGTGAGGAATACTGTTAATGCAAATGTAACCCCCCTGTGCAGCCCTGCTTCTGATGGTGCTATAATAACTGAAATTATATATATATATTTAAAATTAATTATAATATTTTTTTGCCAGAAACATCTGGTGGGCCAAATTGAAACCTTAATGCGGGCCGACTTTGGCCCCCCGGGCCCCACTTTTGGCAGCCCTGAGTTAAAGGAGAAGTCCTTCTCTCAATATTTACTGGCTTCTGCAATCATTAATAAAGCTGTCTAATCTAATCTAATCTAATCCTATCTGTCTATGGATCTCTGCCTCAAGCCTGTGTGTTCCTACTTGAGAGGTAAATACATGTCACCAAAAAAAGGTGACCAAAACAGCTGGGCACTAGTTTTTTAGCAAACATCACTTTAATTGGAGTAAATTGCCAATTGACTATTTTCTGCTGCGGATTTGTTATCCTACCTTGTATTTACGGCCCAAAATTCCTGCATGTGGGATCAACTGAAAATAAAGTACAGTGCCCATATTGTCCAGTGTGGCTCATTGATGTATTTTTAATGTGGTTTCTGGACCGCAATGGAGGAATAAAGTATATCACGCTTACTTATAATACCTGTTAACTGATTAATTAATTGTTGGTTTTGGCATTTACACAGGATTTGTTTCCAATAAGAAAAATATAAGATATCACCAGACTTATGCTTTAATGGGGCAAATATTCTCAGTCAATGTCGAAGTAAGAAATGGTTGCAGCTGTTATGTGCACAAGTGTGGTCAGTGTGTGCATGGCTGCATAGATGAGCATACATGTGTGCACTTCAGTGTGTTCAAGCATAAATCAGTACTGCTGACAGGGCCGCTTGAGTGATGTGGAGACAAGATTGTTCACATCAGCATACTGTAGATTATTGATGGCCTCAGACTGTGTGTGGACACTTTCTATCAATCTCACATGATGGAGGAGCACAGATAGGCTGCTTAATTAGAAGCAAAGTCATTTTAGAGAATAGACACACATATGTGCATTAAAACAGATAGCTGTACTCCAGATGAGTCACTTTATCATGGCTGTCATGTGCCCAACTTGTTTCTTTCTCTCTGAGAAAGTCCAGAGAGAGAAATCCATCTGCAAACGGCTTCACAACAATCTCTCCTAAAAAGGAACAGGGCTTGACTGTTTTGGACAATGTAGGTGTTTATTTTCCTGTCACAGCCTACAGCCTGTTTCGTCCTTTTTCTCAGATTCTTTCCTGTTCTGTCTCTCTGTCCCCGACTCACTCACAGTTTGCACACCCCCTCTCTCCCTTCCCCCCTCTCCATGCCCTCCGTGAGTGTAACTGGCCGCTGGGGTTGGCCTCTCTCTCGCTGTGCCACGTATGTAACCTAAACTGTGGAGGAGCCAAGCAGGGCTGGGCCACGAGAAAAGCTTTCCATAAGACCAGGCTGAGTCTCTGAAGTCTCTCTGGACCTTTTTCAGTGAGGAATGAAATGGAGATGCACATTCCCATTTTCTTCCCTAAACCGCTTCATTTTCAGCCCTGTGGTCCACATCTGCACCTACCTCAGACATTAGTGTTCCTTCACCTTTTTTATCCCTCTTCCCATCTCCCTTTCCCGCCTTTCAGTCCTTTCTTGCACTTAATTTCCCCCCCATGTGTCCCTCTCTCCGCTGCTCTTCTCACCTCGCCGTTTCACTTTCACTCTCAGTCTCTGTGTCAGATTTTCACTTTCCTCACAGTATACTGTGTTGCTGTAAAATGCCATCCTGGCCCCTCTCATATAAACACAGGCTCCTCCTTCACCCTTACTTAATGTCATTAACAGGTGGCTGTCCAAAATAGACACACACACACACGTCACACACACACACACACACACACACACACACACACACACACACACACACACACACACACACACACACATACACACACACACACACACACACACAGAGATACAGACATGTTTTTAATTAAGGCTGTTGTCATGTGAGCGGACCACCCTGCAGCACCATTGCTCACTGATTTAAGATGTCAAACATGTGTGCAGTATGAACAGGGTGCTATTGAGATTGAGCAGGAGAGTTGCAGGTGCAGTCAGCAGTGCAGACACACACATTTAATCATCAACAGTGTTAACCAACCAGGCTGCAGCCCCCTCCCTTGTTACACTCACTTTCCATAACCCTTATGTACCTCCCGCCCACCCTTTTCCCTCTCTCTCTCTCTCTCACTAACTCTCCCATCACCACTTTCCCCCTCTATTAAGTTTCAAGCGTCTCTTACTCCTCAACTGAACAACACACACCAAACAGGTCAGACTTATTCTTCTTTTGACTCGAGTTCATTAGCTGGTTGCTGTTTTCCTATGCACACACGTCACACAGGTGGCTGTGGTTGTTGTTGGTGAAATGGTAGATTGGGTTTCTCATTTTCACAACATAAAATGCACCCGTGTTTCAGAGCTTATCATCTGCTCAGCTGTTATAGAACTTAAGTGTGTGCATCATAGCTTCTGCTGCATTATCAACCTCAAAAACATGCATGTGTACACTGCTTAGGTTAATCTTGTGGTACAAAGGGGGCATTTGTCTGTGTTATCCCTCCAGTAGAGTAGCCTGGCATGCTCTGACCCCTCCGATGATCCTGTGGTTAATATCGATGTAATGTGATCTAGGTTTGTAATTCTATGACTACTAACATGGCTGTCAGCAGCTGCAGTCTTGATATTCTTTATTACAGTTAATGTTGGAGGAGTATTCTAATTCATGGGTGCTGTTCCAAAACTTTGGTTAATAAGAGTCATGCATAAATTTGCTTTGTGTTAGCAGTTTATTTTAGAAGATTATATCCTTTTATGGTGCTTACTGTAAGCTATCATTGGGTGATAAATGTATTATTTGTCAACTTTCCGCAGAATTATATCACAATGTTATAATTTAATTTATTATTTATTTTATTTTTCTTAGAAATTCTCTTGTCCAAATTATTGTCTTTGAGTAAATTGTAATTAAAATCTAACTCAGTTAACTATCAAAATAATGACACAAAAAGGACATTATTACTTATTTAAGTTTTTGTTTCACACGTATGAAGAGTTTGGTGACATGTGTAATGTCAATGAAACACAGTTTACATCTTTGAACATTAGTTTGTTAATTTTATATGTGAGTTTGCACACATTTGCTATATCATTACGTATAATCTATACCAGACATTATCTGTACAAATAATAGTGATAATGACTAACAATTATTGTCATTATGGATTAATCTGCAGATTATCTTCTCAATTATTTGACCACTGCTTTAATAAAATGTTTTGTTCACAAGTAAAAGGTGTCTTGTTTTGTCCACAGATTTCAGTTTACAATATAGAGCAGAGAGAATCAAAAGAAATCCTCACATTGGAGAAGCAGTGGATTGTTGGAGTTTTGACATTGACACTGACATTTTGACAAATTGACAAATTTTCTGTCTCATTAACCAACTAATTGTTTAAACTATGAAAATGATTTCAACCATATTCCCTGCTGACAGTGACCACTGATACTGATACCACTGACAGTGATATTTCTATACTGCAAAGCTCTAAATTGTAATTTACATATTTTATACTGCTCTCTATATTTATATACTGCAGTATATTGTACACAAAGGACTTGCACTTAGTGGGGATTGTGTGGTGTGTTGCCTATATAAAACCTCTGATGCTGTCAGCGCAAAGCTCTGAATTAAGTGATCCACCAACTGCTGGTGCTGCCTGGCTGGGCCTCTTGCCTCCACTATGTGACCTGTTGGACTGCACAACAGACTTAATTACGGCAGCCCCCTCTCTGTCAGAGGGTTCAGGCATGAATTATCACCTCCCATGCACCCTGTGCAGAGCTGTGACACCGTTGTACCCCGTCACTCACGTTGTTTAGACTGCTCCAAAGGCCCCTCGCTCACAGTTTGGAATAACAGAAGCAACTCTGTAAGCCTGGAACCACCTACAGTGTACATATCACATACTCAAAAACACACACACTCACACGCACAATCAAAAGGACAGTCATGGCTGCAGATTCCAAGTGTTTGCTGGAACACATAATGCAGGATGAGAGGTATTTGTGGCAACCCATTATCCCCTCAGATCAAAAGGGATCTGTGTCTGAGCCAGAGATAGTGTACCTGCTTGGGGAAGAGCTCTGTTGTCAACTCCGCTGGGAAAATAGAAGATGGGTGGTCCAGTCTGGCGCTGTGGTGTTATCTCTCACCTTGACCCCACACCAACTGACTTCACCAGCTCATCCAGCCCCAATATTTTCTTCATCTGAAGCAAAATCTGCCTTTCAGGGAAACACCATATGGCTTATCTATTGTTGGCTGAGAGCATGTCATATGGCTTTTAGGGAGGGATAACTGTAGATGCTGATAAAGCTGTTGGAAATTAAATATTACACTGACGATGAAAGGATTTTGCTCATGTGAAGCATATGCTGGCTGCTCTTTCATCTTTCCGTTTCATCTCTCTGTTTCACAGGACTGGACGGAAAACAGACACGGGCTCTCCTGGTCCTTGCCTTCGACTCCTCCCATCTTATCATTTCCTTACTTCATCCATCCCTACTTCATTGTAGCTCTGTTCACATCGCTTTATGTCTAATTTCATTGCTCAGCCCATTTATTTTTACTTCAATCTTTGTTCACTGACTGCTTTTGCTCAATTTACCCATCCATTCCAGGGTAGTTGATAGCTGCCACCTCTTTTTTAATACACTGGTTTTAAAATGAAAACTATCTTCACCCATAATCTCTCCCCATTTTCTTCTCACTAAATCTCCCTTCCATATTTTCATCTATTATTTGCTCCTCTAACCTTTAACCTAAGTGCCCTGTTCTTCCCCCTGGTCCTCCTCAGGCCTGTCCAGTTGAGACCAGTATGTGGTCCAACTTCTTTGTACAGCAGGATGAGGAGGGTCGCATCGGGGTGGCAGGGGCTGGACAAGGTGGGGTTCTGGGTGGAATGAAAGGTGGACGGGGACAGAGGAGGACCCCCAAGATGAGTGACAGCCAGGAGGGGAAGATCAAGCTGGCCTTCTTTGTGTCTATCATTGGCGTGACCCTGACGGTGTTGGGCATGGGGACAGAGTTTTGGGTGGAGCTGGCCCAATCAAAGAATTTCAGTGGCAACCAGACCTGCCAGATGGCCCATTATGGCCTGTGGAAGGGCTGTATCCGCACCCTATGGGTGGCTGACATAGACCCAGAGAGGACAAGCTGTGGCCCCGCTGAACTACCTGGAGGTGAGACCTCTGGCTGCCGTGTGTGAGTTTGTGTTCATGTGTCTGTCTGTTCTCTGTGCTGTCTAGGAGGTGAGCAGGTGAGGTTCCTGGAGGGCATGTGTCTGTTTTGTTTCTCTGACTGTCTGCTCACGTCTGCCTCTCAGTAAACTGAATTGCCCGGCCATGCAAGCCTACCTAGTGGCTGCCTCTGTGCTATAGTATGTGCCTCTGTATGAAAGTGAATTAATGGAAAGGGGTCAAAAGATGTTTCTGAGAGGTTGCAAGTGGTTGACATCATTGAGAAAACAACTTGTAGACTTTATCGCAGTGATTTTTCCTCACCATCACCATTGATGTGAAAACAGAGGGAGCAGGGATAACTAATATGATGCATGCCCTCTGGGGATATGCTTACATCTGTAGGCCTTTCATGTGAGCTCATAAGGGACTGAGGAAAGCAGCACAAATTAATTTTCATTCCACATACAATCTTCAGGTTTCTAAGCAACATATTTATGATTTTTAATATACATTTAATGTAAATTTTCCCTGTGTGTTTATAGGGCCTATGCATATCCACTGTAACCTTGCAAAGGAATAGAAAAAGGATAGTTGTGTATGTGAAGCTGCCTCCATGTATATGTATCTAGGTCATCCTACGGATAATGTGCAAATTGAATCAATAAAGAAATACGATGCTTGGAAACAGAGCGTGAGCAGGACCACAGTAAAGCTGTCTTCAGTTATTATACTATTCTAACAACACAAAGCAGCATGCAGGTCCATGTGGCATTATGCAATATAATCTTTGTGATTCACAAAATTGTCAGTGTAATGAAGCATTAATTTCAAGTTTTTCCCCTTGACTGGGTAACTAATCATCTCCTGTCTTACACACAGTACAGACAGGTGACAGCTCCTCTCTAAAAGCACTTTATTCAACTTGACCATGGTTAGGTCCTCCAGAGTGCCTTGATTATCTGCACAATGACCTATTTCTGTCTGAAAAGCAAGTGTAGAGATGGAGAGAGGCAGGTATTGGAAGATAGAGATAGGCAAGGCAGGCTTGAGAAAGAGCTGCTCCTGGAATCACTGCTGATCTCAGGGAATCTGCTGGGACACAGCAGAGCTCTGAAGAAGCCCAAAAAAAATTTCCTCACCCAACAGAGATACACGTGAATCACATATAAACATAAATACTATTCACATACATCATCTTGAATGACGTGTCAACGTTGTTTTTCTATCCAGTCGTCAAGGACTAATTCATCTTACCTGTCAAAATGTCCTGCATCCCTGGCTGCCTCTAGCTAGCAGATATATATCTGTGCTTCCAAGATGGTCTGTTGGTGTGTGAGAGCAGCCAGTATTCTTCTGACAATCTTTCTCACACGTCCTAACACTGTTGGCCCACGCCGCCTGTCGCAGATGGCCGTGGGCTTGTCATGTTTGGATGAAAACAACTGTTTTTGCCATCTCTGCTTCTCTCTTTCACATCCCTGTTTACATGCCTCTGGCTCCCGTCCCGAGCAAAGTGCAGCCCGCTGATGCCGTGCCTGTCATCTCAAGACCAGCCATCCGTCTTCGCTGCCTGCTGGAGAGGAACATGACAACTCAATAATTATAGCCTCAGCAGGGGTAGCGAGAGCAAAACCAGTTGACTGTGATAGCATAATGTGTTAAAAAATCACTAGGCTGATAAATGGTGTGTCTGCTTCAATAAAAAATGTTTGCAAATGTGCTCAGGCACAAACATATTTGTGTGTGAAAGAAATGTGTGAGTGTGTGTGCAAGCATGTGGTCATCTTGGACCACAGATTATTCAGTGGGTGAAAGTCATCACTATGCGCTTGTGAAGCCAAGTGGAATCTGACTACTTCACAGTTTTTGTCTAAATATAGAGAGGGGGAAACGAGGATGAGGGACAGACAGGGACTGAGGGAGAGTGTATGTCTAATGCAGTATTAACCAACCCCTCTGTGTTTCCACCCCCCCATGACATCTTCTGCTCCCCTCACCTCCTTCTCCATCTGTGGCTCCCCTCTCTCTTCCCCTTCACTCACCACCCCTCCATCTGCCCCCAACTCAATCCTCCTTCCCCCCCTCCGCTTCCTCATCCTCTGAGCCTCTATGCATATTTCCTGCATCCATCCTTCATCATTCGTTCACCACAGATATCCTCTTCCTCACTCCTTCTTCTTCTGCAGCCACGCCTCCCTGTTTCTATCCTCCATCTGCCCCTTTCTCCCTGTCTACCTCCCTTCTTTCTCCCCTCTGCCATCCACCCTCAGTGTTTTGCTGTCTCTCACCCTCTCTGGCGGCACCATATGTGTAGTGCTGGGCAGTGTGTGTGTGTGTCTCTGGGTATTCCAGCTAATGCTCGACACTTGGATATAAATAGGAATAATGCCTGGAAGGACAGGGTGCATGGATGCATAGGAGGCACATAACAGAAGACCAGCAGCCATCCATAGGAGTGTGCGTGTGCGTTTGTGTGTGTACATGCGTCTGATCTTTTCGTATGATCTTTTCCCTTCACCCACAGAATCCAACTGCACCTACTTCAAATTCTTCACCTCTGGGGAGAATGCAGTCATATTCAAGAAGACAACTAACAAGAGTGAGACATTATGCTTCCCCCTGCTATTTTTGTTATACATACAGATACACACTAACAGTTACAGTGCAGCTTCTATCAATAAAGATGTTCTCTGTGGTGCTCAGAGGACCATGCTGGTGGATTTTGCATGTTTCAGCCCATTAACTTCTGCTGCCACCCATTTTCCAAAGGAAATCATAAGCTATCAGACTGATTAATGTGTTTACCTTACTGTCCAGGCAGCCGCTGGTTTTAGTGCAGTTTGAAGTTCAGCTGGCTGAGACTTAAAACTTAAATTACAGTGAGCATAAAGTTAACTTTATCTTTTGGTCAAAAGTTCTTAAAATTCCCCTGATGCATTCAAGGACATTTAATGAATAAAGCTATGAGAACAAATGTTGGTTGGTTGTTCCACCACTTTTGAATATCTCAACAACTAGTGCATGGATTGCCTTGAATTTCTGTACAGATATTCAAGCTTCCTAATGACTTTGGGGATCCCCAGTTTTTTTCCTCTAGAGCCACCATGAGGTTGACATCTGTGATAAATATGTCTTAAAGCTGGTTCGAGCGTTGAGTCTCATTCCCAGGTCGTCACATACAGGCGCTTTGGGTTAGGGTAAATGGGGAAACAAAAATCGATATTTGACGACCTTGGAATGAGACTCAACAATCAACTGTCTTTATCCAGAATGACTAACCACACCTTTAACCTTTAACTATTGGATGGACTGGCATACAATTTGGTACAGACATCAATGTTCCCCTCAGGATTCATTCTGGCTAAATAGATAGATTATTATTTCTTATATCATTTTATCATCAGGTAAAAATGTCTTAATAATTTTTAATTAAATTAATGAGATGATGTTATCAAGATGGTGTTCATGGTAAACATTATACCCACTAAACATCAACATTTTAGCTTTGTCTTTATGAACATAGCATGTGTGTGTGCCTACAGCATGACTTCACACTCTTCAGACTTGCTTGTCTAAAAATGGTTGCTGTTTGGCAGCCATCTAGTAGATGATCTAAAGTCCACAGGCACCAACAAGAAAGACTTTGTGGTGCCAAGTGCATTAACAAAATAGAAAAACTTTGATGAACCTTTGTTCACTATGATGATGAAGTCTCTGCAGGTTAATTTTTAAATCTTATTGGCACACACTTACACAAGTGGCTGCCATGGATGATCGGAAAAATACATCGATCAATCTAAAAACTGTAAGCTTTTATTGTTATTTATATCACCTCCCTTTTGGCTTATTTTCCCTCCAAGCAGCAAAACCCATTCCTAGAGCTTATATCTTTTGTGTTTGAATTAATAAAATAATAATAATGATATCTGTGTGATTTAGCGTCAAAATACAAAATTGGCACTGGCTATTGTGAAATGTTGACTGGCTTTCTGGGTTGCACCTGTGCCGCCTGACAATGCCAATAAAATCTGTTTTAAACAGAGCCAGTATGTGAAGTGGCACAATTCACACCGTGTTTGTGTTTTCACATTTCAGTAATCAAGTGTAATAAACTAAAAGCCAAGTTGATTCAAACTTTAAGATGATGCAATGTCGGATTCTATTAGTAGTAGTAGTTTCCACACAGTATTTCACCATACATCTGACATCTTTCCTGTAGATTATGGATTTCAACTTTAACTACACTTATTTTCACAAATTCTCTCAAGCACTTTTATACTCAAATCCTTTTTCTCTTTTGATTTCTTTCTGCTCTCCTTCACAGATCTGAATCTAGCATCAGCTGTCTTGGCCCTTTTGAGTCTGACCATGATGGTAATGGGCTCCATCTGCATCGGCATGTCCCTCAGCAAAGGAGTGGCCTTCTTTCTCAAGCCAGCCTCCTTCTGCTTTATCCTATCAGGTGGGACCTTGTGATGTTATGTTGCCTGTTTACTTTCATATATGCAATATGCCATTTATGCCGTTTTTTTTGTTTGTTTTTTTTTTTGGGGGGGGGCATTCTTATTAAAGGTACAGTGTGTAACATTAAGGAGGATCTAGAAATGGAATATAATATTCATACTGTAGGTATGTTTTCATTAGTGTATAATCAACTGAAAATAAGAGTCTTCGTGTTTTTGTTACCTTAGAATACGTTGTTTTTATCTACAAAAGGAGCAACGGGTCCACCATGTTAAACTGCCATGTTTTTACAGTAGTCCAGAACGGACAAACACTGGCTCTAGATACAGAGCCACCGTAGTTTCTCCTACACACTAGGAAGGCTGAGCTGTATTCAAATGGATGCAACAAGCACAAAATCTTACACACTTTTTCTTTAAGTTATCTTCTAATGTGCTTTTATTTTAACCTCTGTGCAGGTGTACTGGTCCTTCTCTCTGTCCTGATATTCCACCAGTCGGTGCTGGCTTTGCTGTCCAGTGACCACTCCATACCTTTACACCATGAGCTGTCCTGGTCTGTGGCCTGTGTGGGCTCAGCGGGAGCCATTCTTATTTTTGGAGGTTTCCTCTTCCTCATCCTCTCCCTTCCTTTCAGCCCCTGGCAGAAATGCTTGCCGCACAAGAATAGCGCCACCTAGCACATGAATGCTAAAATATGCAGTATTCTTGATGTCTTGTGTGAGAGCAAGTGGAAAAGTCCTTTTCCCAAGGGCTCTGACTTTGCCTGCTCTTGGCATTTAAACTGTCAGAGAAGTAATACTAGGTCTTAATTAAATGTATGAAGACAAGTCAGCAACACTTTAGTAAGGCCTCCAGAATTTGGTTTTGCAAAAATTGTTTGTTTTAGTGTTTTTTAATAGAAAATAGATGGAATGAGCAACAGGGCTACTGCTGACTGTTTCATTTTTTTTAGTTCAATGTTGTGTTTACTTAAACAAATGTCACAAATAGCCTTGTTAGCCTGCTTATAGCTGCACAGTCACACATAAATCTAAAATCTCTGCTAGAATAATAAAAAACACAAAGGTTTTTAAATACTCTTTTGTATTTTAAAACTTTTTGTCTGTTTAATATGGAAGCCCTTCAACTTCCATAGTTTCTGCAGCAGCATCAGAATGTACTGGAGCCAAGCAACAAATACTGTTTTTGACCATGCCAACCATCAATATGAAGGAGGTTCTGATTTTACATTACTTGTCATATCTGCTACATGTTGCGTAAGGAATAAAGTCGATGAGTATCCTTAATATTCTTGCATATGAAGCTTTAAACACTTAAAACTTGATAAACAAGAGGCTTTAGTTGTCATTATTTATTACTTATGTGTATTTTACAACTATTGGGTGAATGCTGCTTCAGTATACCAGATGAATGTATGTTGAATGAAATCAACTGTGAGAAGTGATAAAAATACCATTTTGTATATCAGAGAATTGTATGGACTCACTTTATAAGCTCAACTTTGTACATAAACTGAATGAATGAGTTTATATTTTATGAATACTCTCTGTAGTGTTGTCGCCAGTCACTTTATTTGCAAGATGTATGCAGTAAATATATTTTTGTCATAGGATCTCAACTTATCTCTCTACCAGGAAATGCTATTTTACAAAATATATGCTGTGCTCATTTCTACTCATATATATGTACAGTATGTTGCACCAGTTTTGCTTACCATTAAAGGGACTTGACATGAGATAATTGCCTCCCTTTTGTTTGCTGACTCGCCACCCTGTCTGCTCTCAAACTTGACATTCGCCCATTTTCACATTGTGACTCCTAACCTCTCTGCCAAACATCCCCCTCCCCCAAACCTGCTTCTCTATAATTAGGCCAGAGCTCATCGTAATGCATTTCACTGCAGAGGTTGGGAAACTTTATCCTTGAATTTCAACTATGTACCCCCGAGCCTATACTCATACCTCTGTGCCCTGTCCTCCCCTTCTCCACCCCTGACCTCAGTGCGTCACTTTCCCTGCTGTCTCCAGGGGAGCCTGCGGTCACTGCTCCTCCACCCCACCTCCAACCACCCTCGGCCCAGCACACACAACGGACCCATCAGATCAGAGATGTCCCAATAACTACTCTAACACCCAGCCCACTGGGGGAGTGAGTGGCATCCGGACAGTCACTCACATGCTCACCTGCAAGCGCACACACTCTCTCACACATGCATTTAACTCCGGGTGGGCAGAAACTGAATCCACATGACACACAATCCTGGTTGTATATATAGCTGTTAATAGTCCTACTGAGACAGTGTGACAAGTGGTGCTCAACCACTAGCTGCATGTTTGTAAATGGAAATGGGCTTCCAGGAATTCTTGATAGAGGACCTGTAGATTGAAGGTGGGAGAGGAAATTCTCAACTCTTATTATTGAGATAAAATATGAATGCCCATATATCTGAAGCTTTATTTCCCTAATCTGTGATAAGGAATTGTGCCTGTGTAGTAGGGTGACATGTTTGCTTTGGCAGCCTCTCTTCCTTCCTCCTTGAATCTCTCATCACTGTGACTGTAACTAGGCTGCAGTAGGTATGATAATAGCAGGGGAAAGCACTCCAGATAACTAATCCTCAGGGTCTAGGGGCACTGCTAGAAATCTCAGGCCCCTTGTCAAGAATGTGGCACTTTACTGGAGCTCCACAAGGCTGTGTCAGCACTTGTGTTTTTAAATACTTGACGATCTATCTATCTATCTATCTATCTATCTATCTATCTATCTATCTATCTATCTATCTATCTATCTATCTATCTATCTATCTATCTATCTATCTATCTATCTATCTATCTATCTATCTATCTATCTATCTATCTATCTATCTATCTATCTATCTATCTATCTATCTATCTTCCCTCTGAAGTATCATCTCTTATCTCCTGCCCAGCCGGCCTGAGGGGGCCAGAGCAGACCGTGACAGTATTTTGTAATTGTTCATGCAAAAACATGCATGAGGTACCAGATGGGCCCATCATTGAAAAAAAGATGAGCTCAGGTAGGGCACTGGTCACAGAAAAGTATACTGAATTAACTTTCAGTTGCTTTTCTCATTATCCTATTTGGCAAATACCGCCCATCTGGCACTACCCATATATTTGGGCTGACAGGAAAGGTCGGAGTCTTTTTAGGATCACAGCACGCCAAGACGTTGAGCTTGAGTAACTACTAAGAGAAATGTTTGCTCACTAATGACAAACAGTATGTGTGATATAGTCCAGTGGTGCAAAGTCACAAGTTACTTTACTTTGTACTTACACTCTTCTACATTTCAGAGGGAAATATTGCTTTTTACTTTGCATTTATCTGACAGCTATAGCTACTTTTTAAGATTTTACATGTAAGAGATATGATCAGTGATTTCATAATATAACATGCCTTCAACACAGTTAAGATGAACACATAAAAACCTCCTCCTTCAGCAGATGAATGTGAAAACATCCCTCTAAAATCTGCACAATCCTCATTCTGCACAGTGAAGCTCAAACATCTGAGTGAAGTAAAAATGAGGAAAACACATTTTTGAGCGGAGGACTGACTTTAGGGGTCCAGTGTGTAACATTTAGGAGGACATGTTTTGGCAGATTTTATCTACTTCCACAAAGGCCATTATATTGAACTACCACGTTTGTATAGTGACCCAGAACGGACAAACGAAACACTGGCCTGCTGGGTTTTTTGCTTGTTTCATTGCCACTGTTGTTTCTCCTACATGCTTGATTACCCAGTGGTTCTTTAAAGTTACATTTTAGGTGCAGGACTATTTTTTACTTAAACCTACAATATTTTTTTTTTTTGGGGGGGGCACTTGGGGCTAGAGGAAGCAAGCAGTGACCATAACGTTGACACATCGTCACCTTTAGACCTTTCAACTAGTTAGGAATGAGTTGCTTGTCATCCAGCAGTGACGGAGCAACATTAGCATTTGGAGTCGTGTTTCTGGCCTCTGCCAACTCCTTTGGGAAATATGTGGCTCTTTAGCTGCTAAATGCTCCACTATGTAAAGTTACTGCCAATGAGCTGAAACTCACTTTAAAGCTGTGTAAAGGTGAAGGAAGCTGTAGATTCATATGTATGTATGTTCATCACTACGAGCAACCCATTGTTGTCTGTCATTAGATGCATTGTCATTTTAAAAATATTATAACCCCTTTAAGGATCTGAATACTTCTTCCAACATTGTTACATCTACAGATACTTTTAAGGAATACAGGTATATGTTCACTCTGCACTTCAGAAGAAGCTCCACTCTTATATCTTAGCAAAAAAGAAACAAAAGACAGCAGTCTGTGAATATGTCTGTTATTGTTTTTTTTATAAACTTCGTGCAATACAGTGTTTAAGTTTATCACACATTTAGATAAACCATAATCATTTGTCTAGATATATCTATTCTCAACTACATACTATTCATATTGCCCACATAAATGCTATCTGTGTGCAGTTTTATCACATTATTCTTTTTCTGAAATGAAATCAAAGAAATGAAAACGTAGAGAATCTGGAAGCGTCTGGTTGTTTTGTTTTGTTTCTTCATTATATCATGTAGCGGTGTGTCCATGGTTTCAACCCGGATCTGCAGTCACTCGGGACAGTTTAGAAGAGAGAGTGGGGAGGGGAGGGGGAAAGGAGGATGTTTACATGTGTTTACATTCTCATCAACATAAACAGATCAGGTCAGAGTTCAGACTCCGGAGTCAGCGGTCACAGGGGAAGCACAGTGAAAAGAATCTTTGGGGAGGTTAAGATGTCGTCTCTGTGGTGAATCTGTTATCGGTGTGATAAATTAGGGGAACACTGATCATGTGACCAAATATGGGCAAGGGGGCGGGGGCAAGTATGGCGGCGCAGGGTTGGCGGATGAAAACCACCCAACAAGAGTCCAGGGAGGGCACCGGGAACAAAACACTTCAGCCAAACTTGCCCAAAATGCATACCCAGTTTGAACAGTGGTCCCGAAAAAACATATCTATAGACTTTACAAATATATGTATGCGTAATTACAATGTACATGTATCTTTTCAAAAGTTTTTCTCTATAGTGTTTTTTAAACCCTCTCAACCCACATATACATATTGTATTTTTTTGCCACTGAAAATGATGAGTTGCATGTCTCACTTTGGGACTCTTCATAGAAAAAAATGATTAGGTATTTTGTTTTTCTGCTCAGGCAGTAACCTTTACCTGAATCTGTACAAATGTATTATTCTATGTCTCTTTTTTCTGCTTCCTCCAGTCAGAGGTTTCTGTTAATGCCCAAGAACAAACATCTTCAACACGACTATAGCTACAAGTACTACTGTTAACACTGATTAGAATGGAAATAAGACTAACAGAGGCCCATAGAAAACTCAGACTCATAATAACGATAATGAAGTTGGACAGTTGTATCAGTCACTCACATTATTGTTGCATTTCTTTCAGTATCAATATTGGAAGACAATTTACAGTATTCAAATCTGACTTCATGTTATAAATGAAAATTATATAATATGGGGGTTAAAAAAAAAATAATACAGGCCCACATTCTCCCACATATTGTGCACACTCATGCTTGACACTTTGACACGGTTACACACAGCTCACTGACAGTCCCAGTGGCTCTGCATGGAAGAAATTCACAGTAAAAGTCGTCGAGATCTAAAATTAGAGTGAAAATAACATGAAAATTAAATTTTCATTCCAAACTATAGTGTTTGCAAATACGGCTAGCCTGTAATAACGCTAAGAATAATCACAACAACAATTTTACATTAATGATGATCTGGTTAAATTAGCAGTAATATTGCACAAAAAAATATGTGAAACATTTTCATAATAGCCCAAGGTTAATTGCGTTTTTGATCATTAACAAAATAAATCATTTCTAGCACATTAAAATATCAAAATAGTTTTATTGTGAAAGTTCATTGTTGTTGTTATTATCACTCTGTTATTACTCATCTTCTTTTTGTTCTCAGTGAGATTGAGTAGACTAAATAACAGTGAACATGAAGGGAGAGATATAGCATTTCACCTATCTGTCTGTCTTTCTATGTATTTCTTCTGAGCCACACAAACACAGAGCCCCTTTCTATCTTCCCTCTTACTACTCATCCTCCTTCTCTCCCTTCCTTCTCGCCTCCCCCTCTCACACCCTCTCTCTACACAGGTGTTGTCTTCCTATTGAGGGTGTTAGAGTTGCTCTCCCTGTCTCCCTTCAGCCTGTCCAGAGTCCCCATCCCTCGCTCCCTATCTACAGTGGACGAGGTGAAGGGTGGAGGGCCGGAGCCCACTGAGTTGGGCATCGGCGCATTGGAGTTGGAAGAATTGGAAGGGTTGTGGGACTTAAGCGAGGGAAGTGTACCACTCATCATCACCCCTCCACCTCCACCTCCATCCTTTGGGAAGCAGTTGTGGAGCTGGTAGAGTGTGGCCCTGTCCACCGTTCCATACATGGGCGGTAAACCCCCCAGTTTGGGGTCGCGTGACAACGTGTAGAGGGAGATGTCGCCTCCAGCCAGGGCCGTGTGGGAGCGAGAGTGAGGGTTTGGTAAAGTGGACACTGAGATGGGGCCCTGGGAAAGCAGCGCAGAGGGAGGCAGGCCGAAGTTCTTGCCCCCACCTCCCCCTACAGGTGAGGGGTCTCGGGAGCGGGAGGGGTCAGTGGAGCGGGACGAGGAGCGGGAGCGGCGGCGGAAGCGGTAGCTGGGCAGGCGGAG